ATGGAGTTCTGTAATTCCATTCCTATGGAGAGCTCTGTTTCGTAAGACCCAAAAAAGAATTACAGATTGATTATTAGAGAAGTAGCATCACTTCAGTGGGTTCTTGGAGTTATTTATTTAAAAATACACAATGGCCCTGCTTCACTGATTTTTGAAGTGATAATCCAGCAAGTCCTTTGAATGATTAAAGGCAACGAATTTTGGACAAAATGAGTTACTTCTTTTGGAATTTGTTTAGAAAACTGAGTTTAAAACCATTGGACACTTCAGCTGATATATGTCATCTTTAATGAACCTTGCCAGGCACAGAAAACCCCTTGTTTTTCCAGAAATCAGGAAGGTTTCCTTAGGATGGAGGTGAGCCTGGGAATCTCTGCCTTCATGGCATTCCCTGTGACCCAAAAGATGCCATTTCTGCCTGATTTTGGGATCAGAGACAGAGTCCTAAATGGCTTTTCTATTAATAACTGCTGAAATAAAACTGGATTCCTCACAGGTACAAGGTGTGATGGATCCATTAAATTTTCTTCCCTAGGAAACAGTAGATCGAAATTAGTTGTAAAAAAGGATGAGTATGTGCCACTGCAAAGGAAACTGGATGGAACTGGGGAAAAGAAAGCAGTGAAAATGATGGAAAAATAAAGTTTCCCTGTTAAACTGATAGGGAAAAAAGACTGAAACAAGACAGAAAAGAACTTAAAATGTTTTTCATTAAAAAGTAAGAACAAAGTCAAGATAGAGGGGATGAAAGTCTGGAAAATACCAAAAACAGATTTTTTTTTTTTTCTGCACTATAAATATTGTTGTAAGGAATAAAGTTTCTATAATGTGCTGTGAAATTAAAAATCAACCAGTGGTGTCTTAAGATAAACATGATGGGATGTGTTAGGTGATTCTGATTCAGCTTTTTCATTCTCTCAGCTTTATTAATTCATGTATTAATTTACAATAGTTTATCAGATGTCATTTTACATTGATGTGTTTTAGTGAAGCTTGAGAAAGAAATAAAATTATTCTCTGGGTAAGGAATTCTGCAAACTGAAGATAAGCCCTGACTTAGCTTAGACAAGTTCTGAGTGTTAACATCAGATTTTTCTAGAGAGAATAGTGTATTCCTATATTTCCTTTAAATCTTTCTTTTATAAAGAAGCTGAGGAGATGCTGAGGAGCTGCCCCAGTGGAAATGGTTCAAGTTTTATTAGTGGCGTGTTGGGTGATTTATTGGCCCAAGCTCTGTTCTAGCTGACATGGCTTGTAATGACTTTGTTCCTCTGAGCAGCGTTTTCCCAATGTGCTGTTTGTTTAAAAGGCAAGTGGGAGGACAGGAATGTGTTGCTTTTCTCCTCTTGGCTGCTCTCTTTGTGTTCACATTGCCATCACTGAAGATCCAGGATGAGCTTTTGGAAAACAGTTCGAGGAAAAGATTGGAATCTTGGTTTTCTTGTAGGAGCTCAAAACTGATGGAAAGATCCAGAGTCAGAGGAGGGGATATTTGTGTGAATTTTCAGAGACAGGTAGGGGAGGTGATTTGGTTTATTACAGGCTTATGGATTTGAATCTCCAATGGGTGGGGGAGATTTTCATCATTACCACAAGGGTAGTACTTGAAAATGAATGGAAAATAAAGAAACCTTCTTGTTTCTCAGTCACAAAGCAAACATTTGTGTATCTCTTCAGAGAACTTCAGGTAACTTGGGATTCCTGTATTCTCAGTAAAACAAAATATATAAAATCAGCACAGACACAATTAAGTTAAAAGCATCTTTGAATGCAAATAATCACAAACTATATGTTTATTGCAGTTGTCATTTTATAACCCAGTTATTAAAAAAAAAAAAAAGGAAGACACTGAGAAATTATAACTCTGAAGAATTTACCTTTGGGGCTGGAGATAACATTTACATCTTGGAAGTGGCAAAACCAAGACAGAGGATTTGAGATCCCAGGGTGTCCTTAGCTAAGCCCCTCTTCAGAGGGATCCTGGAGCCCATTTCTTATTCCTCACTTTTTTGTTAGGGCAGCACCAGTTGGAATTTTTGGGCAGAGAAACTTGATAAAATTAGCAGAAAAAACTTGGAACTTTGATTCTGATTTTCAAAATGCAGTTTTGCTTCTTTTTTTTTTCCCAACTTTGAAGTTCCTTGTTTCCTCTGCACAGAGGCAGAAATAACTGTGTACTCAAAAGTTACAAAGTAGTTTCCAGTAGGTTTTCACCTCTATTTTTGTGAGTGATTAGCCCAGTTAAGTTGGTTCTAAAATCAGATATTTTTTCGTACTTGCTTGGTTTGCTGCACTTTTGGAAGAACTTTTCCTGAGTGATTCTTTCTTGGATGACCTCTCCATGCTGTCATTAAAACTTGGAAACTTTGGTCTTCTTGACAGTTAGTTCTGCATTCTCATTATGTTCATTTCTATTGTAAACACGCTAAAGTTGCTGCTGTTATTGCTTAGAATGGCTTTTTCCTCTGTTGTTTTGAAGTCTGGTAGAAGTAGAAGTTAATCTTTAAGAGAGTGGGGCTGGTGAGGATTGGATGGCCCAGCTCGATGGGTCATGTCGTGTCTGTCTTTTCATTTGCCTCATAGATGATGTTCTGCTGACTCCAGCTGTTTTTTTGGAAAGCAGAAAAACAATTTGCTTTTCCTTCCCATAAAGTATAACCCTTTGTTTATCCTTGTGCTGCTGCAAGTTTCCAAAATGCAAAGACTTGCAAAGAAAAGAAAGGGAGGAAATAGCTCCTTTTTTTACGCTGTTTTTCGTATCAGAAAGTAGAGTTTAGGACCGAGCTGAATTGTTGACCTCTGTGGAGTTTATTCTTAGAATTGGCTGATTTGTGTGTGGAGTCTGATTGACTGAGCCCAGTTCACGGGACAAACCACGGGCAGTGGGTTTGGGAAGGGCAGTCCCAGTTTTTCTAAGTAACTCTTCTGTTCAGTGATCGGTTTTGGATTTGAAGAATTCTTTTTGCAGTTCTTCAATGACTTCAGTTCACTGAAGTAATTGAGAACAGCTCCCTTTTCCAAGCAGGACTTGGTTTTTTTGCTGGGAGTTGTTGAATTGCTGAGACTCCTTTAGTTTTCTCCTGCAGGGATGTTACAAATCTGGGAAATGCAAGTCACTGGTTATAAAGTCGCTGTAGAGATTTACATGATGAGGGTTATCATCTGGCAACTTTTAGTGCTATATTTTATACATAAAAGGGAAGGTAAAAGAAGGGTTTGGGGGACCTGGATTCCTTCCTGACCCAGATAAGAGCTGCCGAGGCAGAAGTCGGCATTAAAACCTCACCGCTCCTGATCTATAATGTCATCGGAAGAACACGTTTGTATTTACAACCCAGAGCTGTATTTACAACCTCTGTTTTGCTTGCTTTGTTCCTTAAGAGGCTCTGGCTGCCCACATTTTATGCACTCTTGGAATGCAGTAACAATTGTGGCATCGTCTTTTCAGAATTCGTTTTCCTTCCTGAGATCAGGCCAGCCATAAGGCCTCTCAAAAGCCTCACTGGCTTCTGCCTGAGATGGCTTTAATTGGATGAATTAATTCCCTCCTTCCCTTGCTTTCTGATCTTTCAAACAGCTCACTGTGATCTTTGGAATTTTTAAATTCCCTCAGCGCTTTGCTCTGGACAGTGAAATCCAGGATTGTTTATCTCGGCGAGGCCTACGCAGGCCCAAAAACGCATCCAAAGTTGTCCAATGTCCATTGAAACTTCCCCAAAGGCATTACCACCTCCCCACGCCTCACACGCCTTCCCAGCGCTTGGCAGGTGTGGAGAACAAAACCATTCCACTTCTGGAAGTTCTGCTCTCCTCAGGAGATGTTCTGGACTGTTTTGGAGCCTGCTGGAAAAGACCTGGATATTTGTGGAGATCTGGTTGTTTTTGCTTGCTGTGGGTGCAGAGCAGTGTCACGGTCTCAGAGCAGAGATTTAGAAAATAGAAAGCTTAACTGGCAGTGGCTGGCTTTGGGCTTTATTTTTATTTTTATTTTTATTTTTATTTTGGATTTTAAGCAATACTCTGAATAAAAGTTGTGTTGTTTTCTGAAATGCTGTTTGCCTGCGTTCCTTCAGCCCGGGGTGCAGGAGCAGCTGCCCAGGGCTCCTTTAAATCAGACACACATGTCTTTAAGGTCTTCAATGTTTTGTTTCTTGACCAACCAGTGAGAGAATTTAAAATTGCTAAATTGACTGTATTTGCCTAAGAACTGATGAAAACTGAGAATAACCATTTGCTTGATAGCTTCCTCCTTTCCTCAGTTCTTTTGTCCTTATTTTTTCATGTAAAAATGCATATTTTAAAAATACAAATTAATTATTTATAACATTTTTATTTTACTTATAACATTTTATAAAAAGACGTATTTTAAAAACTTTATATATGAAATGCCATTTAATTAAGGGCCTGATTAATTTTAAGTCTTTCCATGTTTTCATTCACATCTATTTTCTCTTACAGGTATTTTCATGTTTTAATCTCCAGGAATAAGTCTCTTTTCTAAGCTCATTTTTATCCATATATATAAATCTATTTTTAATGATAATATAAAGGTAATGGTGAGGGTTTGTATATAGAATTATTAAAAACGAAATCAAGAGCACAATACATCCTTTCATACAATAAAAATCTAGAAGAGCTTGAAATGAGCAAACTGTTCACCAACAGAAAGTGTCAGTCAAATAAAATGAATTAAAATGTGAGGATACAAAACCAGTCGAGACAAACATCAATATTCCCTCACCCCAGAATGTCATTTTTGTATCAAAATGGCTTTAAAAATGCAAACATAAGGAGAAATGAATATTTACACATAATTAAATGTTTGAAATAGCTCATCTAACCACAGCCTTATCTCTAGAAACAAAAATGCAAGCATCCACTGAGTGATATTAGCAACTGAAAGGCCTTTGTTTAGACTTTTTGTTTTCTTGGCAATAAATAAAATTCTTTGGAAGAAGTCATTAAGATATTTCTTAATGTTGTCTTTTCAAACTTTGCAGGCTGCTATCCTTGTCCAGGGCCAAACATGAATCCTATTGCTCTTGGAAGCCGTTGGCTTGCTTATGCAGAAAATAAGGTAAGGAAGGGTTTGATATAAAAAAATACTTCTAGATTTTACATATATAGAGGGAAAAAGGAAAGAAAAGGTCACAGGAAAAAGGTATGTTCAAAAGAAAGTCTGTAAGAGGAGTTGCATTAAAATGACAGACCTACATATTTTAAAATATTAGATCTGTACTCTGTACATTTGTTTTAAGCTCAATTTAAGGAACTTGGAAGGCAGAGAAGACAGCCATCAACATGTGTTTGCAGTGAGGTAATTCGATAATGAACCCATTTTGTGCTTGAAAAGTTTAGAGCATTTAATTACAGACACTTCTCAAGGTAGGCAAATTTGGGGAAACTGAGTCTGGACAGAGCCTGGGTTTGTCTGAGCCAACACAGCAATGAACTCTGTAGGTTAGAAAATAGCATTAAAATGTCCACTTTTGAACATCTTTGAAAAAGTTAAGCTCCAGGAGAAAAAAAAAAAGAAATTTTTTAAAGACTTTTTCATCCTTCTAGAGACAAAGAAAATAGATTCCCAAGCAAAGAAATGATCACTGCTTTTACCCAGAGAAGTGGTTTTGTATTCAAAACTTGAAGTGAAGCCTAAATTCGGCTCCCAGTGCCTTACTTTAATTTCAAAGCAGATGTTTTTTCTCCCTTCTACCTGTGACTGGAGAAGCTGTTTCTAGAGCTGAGCCAGAAATTATCAGAGGCAGATTTTAGAAGTGTATTTGCTGTTACACCTCCTCTAGCACAGCTGATTTCTTCCAAAATTCAGGCCTGCCTTTCCTTTCCTGCCACATCTTGCTGATGCTGGAGAACTTAAGCCTGGTCAGCATGGGATTTAAAAAGTATTGCTGCCAAAATGTCAGCAAAGGAATTGTATCACAAAGGGAATTTAAATGGCTTGTGTGTTCCCAGGTAAATTCACAGTGGGTTTTCCCTAGTTTATGTATTTTTATTTAGATATTTAAATATAAGTAGGACAGAGAAACCTGTAGAAAGAAATGCATCTTACAGTAATTTTTAATTTTATTCAGCTCAAATAGTTAAATAGGCAAGATGTTCTGTGTGCAAGCAAGAAAAATCTGTATTTTTTTCTAATTTTGCATAGAAGCACAGATTCTATTGTTAGTTAGGGTTCAAAGGCAAAACCTACTTTTGTAGGGTGATGGCAGGTACAAGAGTCTTGCTTTGATTTATTGATTTTGAAGGAAGGCAATAAAAAGCAAACCCCATGTACATTCCTTTAATCTATTAAATGCAAAGTTTCAAACAACTCTTTTCCTTTGTCATTTCTTTGCTTGCTCGTCATAAAAAGGAGGGGAAAGCCACACTCGGATTCTTAGAATGGCTGATATTTAATGTTACATATACATGGCTAAAGCTTTTGATTATATTTATTTAAATTTATTTGTGGTATTGCTGCCAGACCAAAAATCCCACCATTTCAAAGTTTATGAATTCTTAGTGAGTACTCATCTGGTAATTGAAAACTGGAGCGGGGGACGCGACAGTCTGGGTGGCACCCAGAAGATTATAAAAAGGGGTTAAGTGTCTCAGCAGGGCTTTTTGCTATTTGTAGGAAAAAACACACCACTGTACATGATAAATAAGAGCTCTGGTAATGGGTTATGGGTTTGTGCAGTTTAATCGTAGTGACTTGGTTGCTGTCTTTCTTCTTGTAGCTGATCCGATGCCATCAGTCCCGTGGTGGAGCCTGTGGAGACAACATTCAGTCTTACACTGCCACAGTCATTAGTGCTGCCAAAGTGAGTCCATCATCTGCCCTGGGAGAGCTGCTCCTGGAACATAATTATGAGGTTTCCCTGCTGAATTGGGCTGTGTGTCATCACCCCCTCCCTTCCCAGAGAGGAGAGCACACTGAGAGCCCTGCAGGCAGCAGCACCGTGCCTGCCCTCCCCATCCTCCCAATCTCTGACTAACTGTAGCTTTCCACAAAGTATCTCTGCTTCTGAACTGATTCTTACAAATTTTATTACAAATAGCTATTTCTATTAGAGGGAAGTGACAGTGGGATGGATTTGTATAATGGCTGTTCATAGTGGCACAAGTTTATATGATTAGAAATCAACATTGTGAATTATTAGTCTTTTAGCATCATGAAAAGTGACTTTACAAGTGCCTGCTGCTTTTTGGACTCCATCACACCCCCATTATACATCGTGCTCTCTCTGAAGGGTGACAGCACAGTACTGGAGCTAATTAATTACCTTCTTTGAAGGTTAGAGCTTATTAATGACTGTTTACATATAGGTTCCATTGCCTCGTTTTCTTACTTCAGATGATGATATAAAATCCCTCTGTTTTCAGAGAAATGTCTGGGGTTTTGTAGTATCAAAAGAATCCCATGGCTTGGAAAAATCTTAAACAAGACCGAGCACAACTTTTGTTTTACTGTCTCCCTCCCATCTCCTTTCCTTGCTGCAACAACAATTTCTTTTTCTCACACGCACACACAGAGTGAGTTTTGGCACTGTAGGGTGAACTTGGTGCTGATTACAAGCTTCCCTTGTAACCACCAGCCTTTTCATTTCTGATATGTGCAAGAAAACAAACCTAATAATAGGAATGAAATGACAGCGCGGGACAGAAGGCTCGGTGGCACCGAGGAAAACAACAGTTAGGAGAAGCCACAAAGAGAGACACAGGGCAGGCCAGCTCATGTGAAAACAAAACAGAAAAACAAACAGTCCATCACAATCACAGTGTGGCCAGAGAAGGAGAAAAATCACAGCTTTTTACATTGTTGAGGGGAGCTGGAATTGCTCTTCTCCTGAGGTGATTTGCTGGATCTCTGCTATAGTTAAAAAAAAATGGTTAAAAAAAAGGTGTGGGGGAAAATCTCCCCAAATTCCTTCAATCTCAGCATCATGAACATCTTTTTATAGCAGAGATAAGTTCGAAAAACCGATTGGCTTAGTGTGATCAGCCAGAGTTTGGATCAGATGTGGCAAAATCCTGCAAACAGATCACTGTAGCTGATGGCCTTCCCTGCTGAGTAGTACTAGCCAGGCATCATAATCCAGAAATTCTGCTGTTAAGCTGAATTTATCACACTGAAGTAGTGCTATTGCATCATGTGAGTAGATACAGAAGATAAAATGTGTTTATAATCATAGGAAAGAGAAGATTGTTAGCCTCTGTACAGAGATAAACCCCCAGTGAGAGTTAGGAAAGGGGATAATCCCCAGGGCATGGGCTCTGTGCTGCTCTGTATTTGCACAACACATTGCTCATGCTCATGCCTGTTGGATGTTACTGTAATAGACAAGATTAATACTAATATAGTTTTAAATATTTGCATGATTTGGCTCTTGAGGAGTGTCTCAGCCTTAGTGTATTAATTTGTTATCCATGAGCGCACCACAGTAAATCTGCAATGTTTAATTTATTAGTGATTTCATTGAGTCTTGGCTTGCTGTCCAGCAGGTTTTCATCTCTGATAACTGCAGAGCTGACTTTCTTGCTGGCAAATAGATGCTCCACATATCTATTGCTCTTTTTCCATCTCATTACTTCACCATCAAATTCACTCCTTCCTTACTGAATTCTTCATTTATGAACCTCTGCCGTTGTTGTGTCCTATCAGCTGCAGGGGTTTGTATTTCCTTTTCTTTGATCAGCACAGGAGCAGCTTCTTGGGAAGTGGATGTCCTTTCCTTTTCCCTGCACTGCTGCTTTTTGGTTCAGAAGTGGTTCCATTAAAGTTCTTGTTTTGCCAGGTTACCTTGGGTTACAGCCTTTTCTCTGGTTGGCTTCCAATTTTCTAATGAAGTGAAAGAACCTTCTTATGAAAGAGAAGGAAAGCTGAGAGCTTTCAGCAGGGTCACTTTGGAGAATTGCCCTTCAGATCCTCTCTAGAAGGTCTTGGTGGCAGCGCAGAATATTTTCTGTGATGGTTTCCCTTTGCTGACCCATGTCCTGGTGGGGCCAGGGGTTTGTCCTCAGTGGGAGGTGCTGCAAATAAATTTCCTCCTTAATCAAATAACTTGGGAATTATTTAGGAAGGTCCCTGCTAACCAAAACCACTGAGGTCAAAGTTGTGATCGTGTTGGTGGCTTTCTGGGTGTTCATGTTCCAAAAGCTCTGGTACTTTCTGTCATTTGACCAAGCAGAAAATGTGTCAAGATTCACATTTGGATTAATGATGAGTGAAGGTAAAAATGGATGTGTTTGGAGAAATGAAAGTATCATTCCTTAGAGGTGTTGAAGAATGCCCTCAGTGCATGTAGACAGAAAAGTCTCTTCCATAGATAAATTCTCTTTTCAGTCCAGTTGAACAGAGTAGCATGGACATGGAATTTCTTTTAGAGTAAACCCTATTATCCCTTTGTTCAAACTGAGTGTGAGGCTCAACCTCACTGTGTTGACACCCAAGGCAGATCTTTTTGATTTCTCCTTCTGCTTTCTGTAGATTTTTCATTTGCAATCAAACAGATCATATAAAATGTATTTATTATGAGAAAGAGGAACAATATATTGTGCTGTCACTAAAAGGATGCAAGGCCTTTGTTAGAGCAAAGCATCCTAACAGGCACTGAATGGTGCATTTTAATTCTTTTCATCTAATTAAAGTTGTATTTACTTTTCAATTAAATGAGATGTGTGGGCATACATCTATTTCAGTTAAATATATGTATGTATTTATATTCAAATGAATGTGAACAGACATATTTTGAAGTAGATAGGATACACATGAGCTAATGAATAATGTGTGTTTCTGCACACTGCAGATCATTGGTTATAAAAGGAACTGGATCAAGTATTATAATTTTATTTATCAGCAGACTTCACTGGTGACAAAGGAACTGGGACAGTGCAAACTTGAACCCATTTCATTTAAAATGTATTTGCTCTGTCACATGTCCCACATCAAATTATAAACCAAGTTCTTCTCACCTCATAACTCCTTTGTTTGATTCCTTCTCCATATCTTTTAATCCTGTACTGGTAAAGTGATTTAGCAAAGGCTGCATCTGTTTTCTCTTGTTACCTGATAACTTCTTAATGAGGACTAGCAGCTTATGTGAGAGCAAGGTCATTAGCCCTAATGGATGGAGGGGACAGCTGATATGGCATGGGAAAGGTTAAAGATTACCCCAGAAGTTTTTGCAAATATACACAACAGCACAGGGCAGTAAGTGCTGTAATGGTTCTGCACTGATATTTCTGAGCTAATGGCCTTGGCCACATCTCTGCACACCTCTCCCTGCTGCAGGCCCACGCTGCTCCCGCACGCAGCGTCAGCACTGGCACTCTCTTCTAGACAGCTGTGAATTCATGGTTGGTATTTTGTCATCCCATTGCTCTCATTATGAATATTAAAGATATTTTCTAAAAGAGGTCAGTCACAGTTTGTAGCCTTTTCCCTCACACAGGTGTTTCACCGTGTAGCATTTAGTGCTTTCTCCTCCCTGCTTTATAAACTGAGAACGAATCATTTTCTAGGATTTTAGCTATTGGCCAAAAAACTGCCTTGTCAGTTTTTGCCAGGAGAGCTGGAATGCATCCCTGTGATGGCACAGGGGCTATTTTAGGTTTATTCCTCAGCTATCAATATCTGCTTTATGTTACCTCTCCCAGCCTCCTGAATCCGCCGCTGTTAAAACCCGTTTTATTCTCCTCTGTCGTAGCCGGGTATAAAAAGAAATAACAAGAAACAAATGGCAGGATATTACTAAAGACTTTAAACCCCCAAAGCCATTGCTGTGCTAAAGGCCTGGCTCGATTTTAAGTGGAAGTATCTCCATTAGCATTAATGGGGTGAGTCCATCAGCAGAGGCATCTCAGAGGTTAATCAGCCTTCCTGGCTGGCCGTGGCCATCGATACCGTGTGGCGCCTGCTGCTGTTGGCCCTTCAGAGGCTTTCCTGACAACACACTAACAGACTTTGTGTAAGTCATTTCCCATGAATTATTAAAACAAACGTTTGGCTGCTAATTGATGAACACTAATGTGTTTTCTAATCACTGCAGTTTGAGATTTTAGCACTAAACAAAGCAGTTGCAATTGATTTGTGGCTGCTTCTTGGTTTCAGCCTGGGATCTGGACATTTTTTTCCTTTTCAATTTAGCAGGCAGCTTAGCTTGTCTTTTTAGTTAAGAATTGGCTTGTTACAGTGTCATTCCATTCTGATATCTTTTGCTATTTCTTATTTATATTGCATAATAAATCTGCTCAATTCTTTACAGGCAAATAAGGCACAGTCCTTGGTTCAAGGAGAAAATATTTAAAGTTATAGTTGGGCTTGTTTTTCTTTTCAGTCTGCATCTCTCCTACTGTATGTACTCCGCTTCTTTCTCCAAATAAAATAAAGCAAAATAGAAATAATCTTCAGCATCTTTAGCTGCTAAAAGCTGGTGCAATGAATGTGATTTCAAACCCATGTCTGGGAAACATGCAGAGCCTGGAAAGTCCCATTCCTTGTGCTGTGATGTGCCTGGAAGTTCCAGGACCTTGGGGGTGGCATTTTTAATTTTGCTGGATTTGTGTCTCATTTTCAGTTTTAATGCTTAATTACTGAGTAAAAAATAAGTGTGTCAGATGTAGCAAAGGCCAAATTCTTGGTCTCTTGCACTGTGCAGAAGACAAAACTGTCAGCCTTAGGGGCTGTTTGAAATTTGTGTGAGCAATGCCCTCCTCACACCCATTGTGGCCTCATCTTTGATCCTTCTGACCATCCATGCTATGGGAATAAGTAAAATCAAAGTTAAAAAAAAACCCAACTTAAAATACAAAAACCATTAAATTATTTCAATATTAAAGTACTTCTTTTTTCAATAATGCTTTGGCATAATTGACTTCCAAAATAAAGGTGAATTCTTCCATTTGCTAGGATGCCAAATTTTTTCAAGCTGTTTTATTCCAGCCTTTTGCAGCTGATACATCATTCCTGAACAAATCCATTTCTAGAAAAAAATCCGAGCTGAACCCACAGCACAGCCCTAAACACTGTTTAAGGGTTTGTTTTGGGTTTTTTTTCCCCCTTTTTTGCAGACAATAAAGACTGGGCTGACGATGGTGGGGAAGGTGGTGACACAGCTGACGGGGACGCTGCCGTCGGGAGCCACCGAGGAGGAAATCCTGGCTCACAGCAACCTCCGCCGCAGTCCCCTGGTGCCTGGGATTGTCACCATCATCGACACCGAGACCGTGGCAGAGGGACAGGTAACGGTGTGCACACAGCCACAGCCTGCACTGCCACCACATTCCCAGGAAAATCGTTTTTGTGCTGTTGGGAGTGAAAAATAAACCAGATTTTCACCGGGGCGGGAGTTTTACAGACTCACAGAGCTGGGGTAAAATCCTGTTTGGGACTGAAATGCAGCCAAAATATATATTGTCCTTGCAGCATATTTATGTGACACTTTGACAAGATCAAGTGTGAAGTGTCACATTTTGTCTCCCCAACACTTGTTCCTAATTGACATTGATTGATGCTGATCAGTCCAAGTGGAGATGTCTGATGATAGTTATTAATACAGAACGTGGCTGGAATATGGGGTTCTTCAGGAATAGGGGGAATTGGTGAATTCCAGGCTAAAATAAATGATGAGAGAAGTTGGGTATGAAGTGTAAAACTTACAATTTTAGGTAAATCCCAAATGCAGTTGAGCACGATGCTGTGCTGTGAGGCATTTGTACTGTTTTATAACAACAGAGTAAATTTAGTGTAGATAATAATACACAGGCAGAATCATTTGTTACAAACTCCACACCATTATCAGACAGCTTTTAAATTGCTGGATTTTCCTGTCTTTATGACAGAGAAGATATCCATGTCTTTTTTTGTTTTGTTTCTACCACTCATTTAATTTTAAAGTGTCTGGTCCTGGATTCAGTGTTTATGCAGAACTCCCACACACTTCATTATTCTGTAACTAGTCCGTGAGATTTTTTTCCTCATAGTCACATTTATTGAATTTAAAGCAAAAAAAACCCTTCAATTTTTTCATGTTTTCCCCTATCTTTTTCATTCTCATTGCAGGTAAGTTAGTGAGGTATTAAGGACACATCAGAAGTCAGATATTTTGCCCATTATTTTATGTTCTTTTCTTGACAGGAAAATAAAATCTTTTACTTGAAAAAAACAAAGCAAAACAAAAACTTCATTATGGTTCTTCCCTGACAATTAATTTTGGAAGTAATTAACCAAGCAATGTTGCATTGAAAAGGAATTGTTTATGAAACAGTATAGACATTTTCTTCCAAAACTGAAATAAGAGAAAGAAGATAATGTAAAAAAAAAACCAATTAAAATCTTAGAGCCAGGTCCTAAAATAATTCTGTTGGCTGTTGGGATTTGTTTTTGTTTCCAGGAAAAAAAAAATCTTTTGGCTCTTCATATACGACAAGGAAAGATAAAAAAAAGGCAAATTTGACTTCATAAATTTCTGATGAAGCTGTTTAATGTGGTCATTATTTCTGCTGGTTGCTGTCTGTGCTTTGATTCTTCTGCATAGGCCTGGGGGGCAAAAATGATAGATCTCAGGTTTTTAAGGCTTGTTTTATATGATTTAGAGGTTTTATGAACTTGTCCTCTGACCCTAACAATACTAGGGAGCTATCAAAGCCTAAAGGGCACTACAGGAGAGGAGCTGTAAAAATGATAATGTTTGTCTTGTCCAAACCCTGCTGCTCTAACATAAATAAGCCATCAGCTCTAGGAAAATAAGTTTTGTCTTCAACCTCCAGGAAGCTGGATATCCTAATGGTGTGTATTGCATTCATATTTTTGTCATCTGAAGTTTTTAAATGCTGTTAAATTATATAATTTATATCCAGTGCTGCGATTTGCTTTCAGAATTATATTTATTTCCAGGAAAAAAGAAAATAACCTTTCTTTGGCATTGTTATGATTTTCATGGTGCATAAGATTTTTGATTTTTTATTTTTTTTCTTACTGAAATATTCCTCTGGCAAAAAGAAATCTGATTAAAAAGAAATAAATGCACTTTGTACATGGTCATTCCACACTGCCAGTACAGAACCTTCTCCTGTGAGGAGGGTCCTGGGTGCTCCCAGTCCCTCTGAGTCTCTTCCTGTGCCCCCAGCTCTGTTTCCAGTGGAAATGTGAATTTTTTGCAGATGTGAGCTGGTAGATCCTGGTTTTGGCAGAGATCCCGAGGAGCCTGGCAGGGATGTGATGCTGTGGCTGGCAGGAGAATTCCTGCAAGGAATGCCAGTGTGGATGGCACTCGTTTGTCCTGGCTGGTTAACCCTGGCTGGGTTCAGGCAGGATTCAGGGAAGTGTTTCAGCACCTCTGACCTTTCAGGGAGGTGAGAATCTCCCTGAGCTCGTTGGGGCTGCCCTGGACCCCAGCAGGCTCCAGCGTGGAGCTGATCCCAAATGTGTGAGCTCCTCATGCCGGGAATTTGTGACATTGTTTTACTCTCCAGTGGAAAATCAGTTTGTGGTCACCTGAGCTCCATCATCGCTTTGGCTGAGATGGAGACGTGGTGGGGCAGGTCGGTGATGCCAAGTCCAGCCTCTCTCTGTTTTAGGGTCACCAGTGGTTTTCCTAAAGTTCCTGGTTTATAGAATCACAGATTCACAGAATCAGTAAGTTTGGGAAAGGCCTGCAAGGTCATCCAGTCCAGCCTTTGGTTGAATCCTGCCATTCCTCTTCCTCCACTCACTGAGAAACCCTGAATTAAAAATTCCAGCCAAGTATTTTCTGGGCTAAATGAACACTTGGAAAGCCTTGAATCCTATTCAGCAGGGATTGCTGTGTGCTCACATGGGTTTCAGCCTTGTCACAGCTGAGGGGAATTTCAGAAGCAGGGAGGAATTATTTTCTTATCATCAGTGCCCTCCTAATATAAAATAAATACCTCACCTCCTTCAGGTCAATAAAGATTTCTATCAAACCTGCACAGCCTGACCAAGAATTTGGGTGTTGCAGTGAAAGATACATTTTCCAAGTAATAAAATATGCCTGTAAGATAAGATACAGTAAAAAAAAAAAACTGAAAGAATTAATCTGTTTTAAAAAGAGAAAGAAAATGGAAGACAACAATAAATCTAAGACAGGCAAATGCATCATTTTGGAGGATAATTAACCTTTTTTTTTGAGTGGGGAAGCATTTTTTTTTAAAATAAATGTGTCTAAAGTTTTTCAAATTAATGATCCAAGTACCTTTCCAGTTATTTCAAGCTCAGCACAAAGGTTCTAAAGGTGGACTGAGCTGCTCTGAGCTGCTGTGCCTGTGTACAAATACAGCAATTTCTGTGCCAGGAGGATGATGAAGGGACATGTTCTGAACACAAACCAGGAGGACTGACTGATTTTTTATCATTCCAAAGGCATTAAATATGAGGGATGTGAGAGGGAGTTCGATGTGTCTCATTCACTGCTGCCATGGCAGAGAGTGAAATGCAAACTCACTACTGAAAAATCCACAATTAAAGACCAAAGAACTCTCCTAATGTAATCTTGCAGGATTAAATCTGCAGGGAAAGTATTTTTAATAAATCTTATTAATGTAGATACTGTAGTAAACTCTCATCCCCAGCAGTTGTTTATGTGATAGTTCCTACTTTCAAAGTTGGTGCTACTTTAAGAAAATTTGAATGATGAGGTAATTAAATAAATGCAGAGGAATGCAGAATTATTGACATTGGCTGTCAGGAGATATTTGTAAAAGGAATAAAAATAATTATCGAGATGCCCAAGTAACTTTGTGGTAAACCAAAATATGTTAACAAGGTTGTGTGCTTGTTTAAACTTCCTTCTAATGAAGTGTTAGCAAACTTTTCAGTTAGATGGAAGGACTATTTATTTGAATCCCTTAATTAGTTGAAATGGATAAACCTAAAGCTGTACAGATGTCCTCTTTTTCAGTAATTGGAATTAAATGTGTAAGACTTTATTGGCTTGGGTTTGAAAGAAAAATTATTTTCTTTCGACCTTTGTTTCTGTATTCTTAATTAATTCATCCACTGGGCCACCCACGTGCAGGCTGCAATAATGACCTTGCTCAAAAGTCACCAGTTTTGGGGTAGAATGTAAATCTGTTCAACATCTAACAGTTGGTTGACAGAGAAAGATGTGGCCAGTTAAAAACCCAAAATTCAATTCTGGGTACATTTGCCGGGGCTGTGATTGATGAAATCTCACCGTGCAGCTCATCCACAACTCAGGAATATTGGAGGGAATATTTTCAAAACAGCTCAGCAAACTAAGATAACATGTTGATCTATTTATGTTTTAAAATGTGATCAGGGCTTTTTTTTTTTTCCTGTTCCCTATTAACTTTTTATTGCATTAAAGAAGAATTTTCGGGAAAAAAAGCAGCCGCCTGCTGCACTTTCCAAAGTTCATTTTCATTTGGTGAGGAGTTGATTGCAATTGAACCATATCAAGATGCTTATCAGGAGCAGGAATTGTTGTGAAATTTTGGTCTGATGCAAAAAGAAGCTCAAAGACTGAAGCATATTCAATAATAAAACTTTAACTACAGACATAATTCCACTGGTCATTAACACCAGGGCTTTTATTTTAGGAGCAGCTTTGGCAAAGGCTGATCTGATGTTCTGATGCTCAGATATTTGGCCTCAATTTTCCTCACTTTTTATATCTCCGTGTATTACAGAAGAATTCTTTTTATATATAAATATAAAAAGAGCAACAGGATTCCCTCAGAGCATAATACTGTCTGCCTCACTTTTATTAAAGGAGATCTGGTTTTTGTCAAGAAGACATTTTTGTCTCAGATAAATGGTTCAGGCTGAGCACAAGGCTGGTTTGAGTTTATGCTGGATTCTATTAAAAGGAGTGCAGTAGTTAATGCCACAGATCTATCACTTTTAGCCCCTTTCCACTGAAGTTTGACCTTGGCTGTAACTTGGGGGAGGCTCTTTGTGAATCATACTCCAGCTCTTTAAAGCATTGGGGATCTCAAGTGTACAGCAAATATTTGTTATACAATATTCATATTTATAATTATTGCCAAACCTATTTGTTTTTATGATGATGGGATTACTCTTTTCTTAATTGTATTAAGACTAGGACCTGCTTGATTAGATTTGGGTCCATTTTCATTTGTGTTACTTTCATGTTTTATTTAAAAACATGTCTCCACTGGGATAAGTGGTGTAATTTGCCTTTAAAGATTAAAATAATTAAAGTCATAATTACAAGTGGCTTCTGTTCAGCAGTACTGAAAATACCACGGAGGAAGGAGAATATGGCATAGGAGAAAAAAGCTCTGGCTGCAGTTATCTCCTGCCCTCCAAACAAACACTGGTGGCTGGTAGGAAATGCAACGATGCCCTCAGTGCTTTGTCTCTTCTTTTAGGGTGAGATAAAGGCAATTTGGTGAATCTTTGATGAACTTCAGAGTTCTGCTGTACCAGAGATGCTCTGGGAGCTGGTTTGGCTCAGTACATCCAGCCAAGGGCTCTTTGGCTGGGAAGCTTTGGGGAAAATGCTGTTGCAGCTCTTGATAAAATGTTTTTGGGCATCAGGAGCAGCTGAGGGCTCGTTCAGCAGGACTTTGGCAGAAAAGTCTCAGTGTTGGTCTCTTGTTGGGAGCTCTGCAGGGAGGATCCTGCTGGGCTTCAGTGGCTCTGTGATCACCAGAGCAAGGCTGAGATTCCTGAACTTTTCTCAATGAGAGACTTTGGGAGGTTTTTTAGCAGAGTGGTTAGAGGCCACTACCTTGGAGAAGGAAGCCTGTTTGGGAGGAAAAAAATTGTAGCCTCGGGATTCCTGTGGGCTCTGCACGCTCTGGGAAGGAGAATGAGCTGCTTCCCTCGAGCTCTCTGACAGCCCTTGCATGTGTTATTAGGGAAATTGTCCCTCTGGTTTGATTTCCAGGAAAAATTCCCAACTCTGCTGTTTTCAGGGGCATGAAACCCTCAGCTGGCTGGAGGAGCTGGTGGTACGGGTTTGATGTTCCTAAAGCAGTGGGTGTTGCATCAGCGTCATTTTGATTTCCTGAAGCTCTGTAAGAAAGGGAAGATCACGCTGGGATTTAAAGCTTTGCAGGCTCTGAGCTGGGATGGGAACCAGGCTTTGGTTTGGTGGCACCTTTGGGAGGGACATTTGGTTGATGATGGAGTTGAGTCCAATTCCTTGGATTGTTTTTTTCTCCTTCCTTCATAGGGTTGGAATTGTAAAAAGTGATATTTGTTATCCCCAAGTGCAGTGCAGAAAAGCAGGGGGAAGACTTGACAAATCCTGAAGATGTCAACAAAGATTGGTGATTTCAAAAGTATTTTGCTCTGTTCCTAAAGGATTTCTTTTCTTCATGATAATTTTAAAAAGATTAAATTAAAATTAAAAAATTTAATTTTTTCATCTTTTCACGCACAAGCAAGTGTTGTTTCCATGTGTGTTCCCAAAGGCAGCTCTGTCCATTCTGACACAGGGGCTGACACCCATCAGGTGCTGAGAAAGGAGCCCCGAGTGTCACATTCCCCACTGCCCAAGATTTCCAAATTATGAGTGATGAAGGTGCTTTTCTGGTTAGATTTTTTTGCTTTCATTTTCCTTTTCTTGGTTAGTACAGGAGATGAATATACTTGAATTTGAATCTGCAAAGGCTGGTTTGCTGCATCAGAAAATCAGCTTTTGTAGAGAAGGAGGAAGATCTTTAAAGACTGCTTTTGGAGTTTTGTTTTTTTTCAAGAAGATATTTTTAAGCAGTAAATGACAAAAGGATTGAAAGCATGGGATCAGTAAACATCACATACAAATAGACATTTGGCCTTTTTTGAGTTCTCAAGTTTTCTCTTTCTAAGTCTAAATTGTTTTGCAGTTTTTAATGTTGTGACTTTTTGCTTTGTATCGTATTTCCAGACAAAAACTATTTAAGATCAGGTTGCCATCCAGTGCTCTGCCTGTTGGACAGGGGTTCATGTTGCAGGGGTGATAACAGCAGTGCATTTATCATTTTTATTTTTTCTCAAATAAAGCCATGTTGAATTAATCCTGGAGAAGAGGCTGCATATGAAATATCCTATATAACTGTTTCTAGCAAGAATTTAGATCCTGTGATACCCACACATTTCTGATCAAATATTTTTATTTAACAGGCTAGACCTGCAAAAAAAAAATTCTTCGTGAAGCTGGTTTATGGTGTTAGTTTGTCATTATCATTTCTCTTTAATTAGAGCAAAATGTTGATGCTGAGGCCAGCTCCGTGGGAGTGGGGGCTGTGATAAATGCTGGCTGGGAGTGCCTGAGTTTGTCTGGGTGAGGCAGAGCCGTGCTCCTTTGAAAAGCCTTCGGAAGATCTCCAGACCCTCTGGTTTCGTGGTTCTGGAAGGAGCACGAAATGCTGACGAGGGAGAGCAAAGCCATAATTGTGCTGTGACAGTGCCAGAGCTCTGGGCTCTGCCAGCCAGGCGGGCCCAGGCCCCTCCAGCCCCATTCCAGGACTGCTCCGAGCACCAGGAGAGGATTCCTCGTTTTCTGAAGCTGAAAAATATCTTCAAATTATTTTGATATCTGTTTGGGATAGGAAGTATTAAAAACATTACAGATTATTTTGGAAGAGACAGACAAATTATTCAGGGTGGTTTTGCACTGTCTAAGATGGTTTTTGCTCACCACAAAACCCCCTTTTTCAAGTCCTTTTCTGACAGATCTTTCTTTTTGTTTTAATTCAGCTTTAAGGATGATGTAATCAAGGAATAAAACATTCCTACAGCTCTTGCATGGTTTTGTCCACACATCTTCTGGTTCTTTTCTATAAATCTAGGAATATCTTTGCTTTTCATGCAATTAAACTTAGATATTTTGTCCCTTTATATGTCCTCACAGTCAGTTTTAGTTTGATTGGGCCAGGATCTTTATCAGCTTCAAATTTGCTTTTGTTTAAAACCCCAAAAGCTCATCCTTTGTCCTTTTCCCCAGAAGCTGCTGCACAACACAGATCTCAGTCCAGGTATTTCCTTTTCCACTGAATTTCCCTGTGCTGTGAAAACTCTCTCCTATATTTTAATTCCTTTTTTTTTCACAAGAAGGTATTTTATTTGGGCCTATTTTTTTGATAACAACCTTTGTAATAATGTTACCTCATTTTGAGTGAGGCAGTTTCAAGTTGGAGAAATTTCATATTAACTGTGAATTCCACAGTGCAGCTGCTTCCATCCACACTCCCAGCCCTTGGCATTCCTTGCATCCTTTGAAAATCCAGATCTCTCAATTCCAGCACCACTGACAGCAGGATGGAAGCTGTTCCCACCTGAGGGACTCATGGAAAGCAAACCCACTTTCTCTGGGGTTTGGTCTGGTCTTCCACTTGTTTGCCTTATGTACTTGGGATCAAAACACTGATTTATGTAAGAGTTAAATATTCCCTTTTCTTTCTAGGATGTGATTTTGTTACTGGAAACCTCAAATGGAGCTTCCTGCACAGCATGGTGTAATGAGCTCTTGTGCAGGCAGCAATAATTCATGGAGCAAAACAGGAATATTTTTCTCTTTTCCCTAATTTGAATAGGATAAATAATAGGGAATCCAGGCATTAAGTGGCTAATCCTTTCTGGTTACTAGAGCAGGTCTGATGTCTCTGTAGCTGAGAGAATTCCCAAGGATTATTGCTGTTCAGCTGATGTGCAGTTACACTGTGAACATGAACACCTTACAAACCAATCCCTGTGCCAGTAAATTGGGAATCTCCCTCTGGAGTGTTTTCCCTGCTAATTCTGGGCTGTGTTCTGTCCCCCAGGTCCTGGTGAGCGAGGACTCAGACAGCGATGGCATCGTGGCCCATTTCCCTGCCCATGAGAAGCCCATTTGCTGCATGGCCTTTAACCCCAGTGGTAAGAGATGTTTCTGGTTATTTGGATTGGTGTAAACAAGGCAGTTAATCCCATGGGAATGTGTTCCATGGCTCTGGAGGGATTGCTGGTCCCACTGGGCCACTGCAGGTGACCTGCTCCAATTGGATGTGTAATTTGCCTTTCCTGGAAATTTCAAACTTCAGCAACACTTTTACTGTGGTAGGAAGGAGGAGATTCAGTCTTCCACTGCTGAGGAATCCCTGTCTGTTGGGATCCTGCCAGCCAGCTGCACATGTTGTGATCCTCAGGTATCCAGAGGATCCATGGATTAAATTGTAGTCCTCCATAACTACAGAAATAAAATCGTTTCACTGGTTTTTAAAGTTACTTGTTATTTGTTTGCTAATGAAGAGTTTGTCAGCTTCCCCTCTCTCATGAGTAGAATCAACTAAAATTTGAAAATACTTGTAAGAAACTCCTCAAAAGTACCTGTTTCTGTCCTTCCTCTTTAGAAATTAACAGTCACTGTGGGCAGCGGGGACAACTACAAACCTTGTATATTAATTGACCTTATTAATCTGACAATTAGCATTTCATTATTTGTAGATCAGTAATGTTCTGGCTGATTGCAGCAGCACTCAGGGAAGTGGTCAGGGAATCAACAGCTTCCATTGCCTAAATCAACAATTTCTAAAATGCAGCAAATGCCATGAAGATCTGGAGGGTGAAGTCACATTTCAGAGAATAAAACTAAATGTCTGTCATTTATGTTTTCACTTTTGCTGACCAGTTGGTGTCATTCTGACACCCCATCTGTTGTGTCAGAACTCTTTAACAGTGCAGTGCAGTTCACTGGGAGTTTGTGACAGAAAAGCTGTATTCTCATCTGCCTGGATTTTCTTGGAAGGGAATTTTTTGTGGAGCTCTGTGCAGTGAACTGAGAATCCTCAGCTCCAGAACAGTCATTTTGCTTTGTGCTCTGGAAGAATGTTGATACCTAGAGTGGAGCAGTGCTAATTAAATGAAATAAATAAATACAGTGAAGTAAATACAGCTGCTTAAATTAGAATAGTATATAGATATGAATGAAATGCCTCCTTAAGAGAGTTTCTAGGATTGTGTAAATTTAAAGGGCAGAATGTTTATGCTAAACTGAACTAACTTGTTCTTTTTCAAAAGGAAGGATATTTTTGCAAATTGCTGGATAGTTCTATTGTGATCAAATTCTTCAGTTTGCTCAGGTACTGGGATGACAATAATTTAGAGAGTTAATGGTGTTTAATGGCAAAACACTTCTTTAAGTGGTGTTATTTTTGGCTGCTTGCAGATGCTGCGGGAGCTTTGCAGGAGGGATGGGGACAAACCAGCAGAGAACTCTTCCCTCAGCTGCCTCCAGTGAGAGCAGCACTTAGCCCAGGATTCTGTGTTCTTTATTTAACATCAAGGCAGGATTTTGTTTGAAGCCAGGACTGTAACATCATCCCAGCCCATTCTCCAGTGGTCTATTGGCAATCAGGCTGAGCTCATTACAGAGAACAAAACAAGAGGTGGTGGTTGATTCTGTCCTTGGCTGCTTGCTCTGAAACCTCACTTTTACTCCTAATTTCAGGCAGTGTCTGCGTGGCTGCACCAGAGCACAGCGACTGCAGAGCTGTGCTGGGGAGACAAACAGGGAGCACTTCCCTCTGATTCACTGAAAATTTTACTTTCTGGGGCTGATAAACCCCTTAATCCCATCATATCTCAGTGCAAGAGCTGCACAGGTGCTCAGGTCTGAGTTTTGGGAAGATCCCTTTATAGACTTTTATTGTGTTAAGAACGAGCAGAATCCTCCCTTCATTTGGACAGATCAGAGGTATAAAGGCCTTTATGAACTGTGATAATCAAAACCAACTTGTGTTTAAATGATCCACATCTCTCCACACTACAGGAATTGTTATTTGTGCTTTTGGGAGTAATTTTAAAGCCTACTGGGCTGCAGCTTTATTTCAGTCAATTGTCTTTACTTCAGCACATTTAAAAGCAAATTATAGATGCTTTATTTGTGCTAAAGCTGAGTTGCTAAATACTTTATTGTCTACCCCTGGGCAGATTCTCCACAGCCAGTGGACAGTCTGTTCTTTAAGCCCATAAAGTTTCTTGCTGCTGTCCCTGCAGATCCTCTGGGCTCCCCAAGGAAGGTTTGTTTTGGGCACGAGGCCCCGAGGATGCAATGTGGGAATAAGTGGAACACAAAAACCTGAGAATGTGAAAATGACCAGAGATGCCATTTTCACAATTTATAGATGAAATAAAGTGTAGAGAAACCAGCCCAAAATTTTAGATATGATTAATCATTCTGGAGTCTTGCTGTTGGAGCATTGAGTTTGGTTTTGGAGGACACCAGGACATCTTCATGTGGACACTGCTGCTCTTCTCCGGAGTTCCACTTTCCGTGGGAGCCTCAAGTGATACAGACCAATAATGAATAATTTTGGAAGCTGGACTGAGCTTCTGAGCCCACCAGAGCAGAGGATTGTGCTGGGATCCCAGTGGTGTCCCCTGGTGAGTGCAGAGCCTGACCTGGACATGGCCTCCTGGGCTCCAGATGGGATTCCCAGGAGCATCCATTCAAACATCTCCATCCCTTCTATCTGGTTTGGGAGAAAAGTTCAGTGTAGAAGTTTTCATGTCTATTCAAAGGTAGTTTAAATCATTCACTCCTGGTTTTGGAAGGTTTGTGCCTCGTTTCCCTGTCAGGCTGCACTGCCAAGAACTGTATGTACAACAAACCCCGTGGGCAGCCAGGAAAGATGAGAATTATCCCCTGTTTGATTTTCTTTAGAGCTTCTGCTTCAATTGCCAATTTGTTAAGGCGAGTAAGTAGCCTTAGGGCCTCTGAAAAGGACATTTTGTTACCAAAGCTTCCTGGTGGTCTTCTCCTGAGACAGCTTTTCCCAGTAAAAGCTTTTCTCTGCACTCAGATGCAGCATAGAGGGGTTTTCCAGCTGCAGGACTCCATCCTGGCTTCTCACCCTTCTAGAGGGAGCAAAAGACACAATATTTTTTCTATAAAAGCTCTTAAAACAAGCTGAAAATACAATAATTAAAACTCTTCTGTAGCTGTTGCTAAATCCATTCTCAATTTGAGAGTAGGACCAGCTTTTAAATCAATGGGATGGGGCAAAGGTAGGAAAGTTTTCAGATAAGATTCTCAGTTGGTCAACAGCTAAAAGCTGGTTTAAAACAGCTAAGTGCTGGTTTATAAATATCTGGGGGTGTTTTTCTTTTAAATGTGGTAAATAAATGATCTGCTTTCCAAAAGTGTTGCTCCTGCCAGCTTGGCAGCTGAGAGCTGTGAAGTGCAAGACATTGAAAATTTAAAATAATTACGCTTCCTTGGCTACAAAAGAGATTTTCCACCCATTAATAACAAGAAAATTAATGTTGGGCCAGCAGTAAAACAGATTAAACTGTGTCCCCCTTGGGATGCCTGACTGCACCTTTAACAGACCTGAAATTTCTCTGATTATTTTAATGTTCTATATTGAAATGTGATGGTGGCCTTGAGTTAATAGTTAAAGAGGGTGAAATTGGAACATCTCTGCACAAGTTTTTTCCCATTGATCAGAGAAAGTGGGCAGGAAAACACTCCTGGAGAGTAAAACAAGCCGTAATTATTTAATGACAGAAGAGTTCTTCTGTTTTTCTGTTAATTTTCTTCTGGTTTTCAAGTTGAATTATTGCCTTGGACGACAAATACATTAAAATTAAGGCAGTTTGATGAGTTGCAGTTATTAATATTGTGTCCCTGTGTCCCATGTCACCAAGAGGAGTCCTTGATGATTGATGGCTTGATCAAGAATTGCATTTTGGGCTGGTTGTGAAGGAAAAGCTGCAGCCATGGATTACTTTAGGAGTTAAAAGAATCATAGGGAGTTACTTATTCACAAAATAATATTTTATTTTGCTTCTCTTTCTTTTGACTTCTTGGGATTTTTTAAATGTTTACATTAAATCTTTATGTGCTTGCATTTGTTTTGCGGTGAGTCTTGCTAAAATCAGAATTTCATTATTTAGTTAAGGATTTTTAAGACCAAATTTTGAAGCTGTAGCACATGGTCCATTTGGGAGTATCCAGGGGCTGAGCAGCTCTGATGTTTGGCTGTATTTTCACTTGCCTGGGAGAGGAGTTAAGTGGATATAAATGAAGCTGCTGTTCCTGGGTGGGGCCAGATGCCTCAGAAAACCATGGGCCATCTAAACTTTGTCACATGAATGATTGGTCAGCCCAGGGAGCTGCAGTGGAGCAGGAATCCTGTCCCAGTGAGCCTGTGGAAGGTGGGAATGCCAGGAGAAATCCATGTGGACTGAACCAGGAGCGGCTCTAAGTCTCTGTGGTTCCCCTGAGTGCTCTGAGCCTGTAATTTGGGAACCTCCAAAGCTCCGTACCAACCTTGCGTGGCATCCAAGTTCAGATTTCCAAACTGAAGTGTGAAGAGTTCATATTTTTAATAATTTTTTGGACAAGCAGTGAGTTGGTGCAGTGGCTGGATCGGTCTCTCCATGGCATGGAAATGTGAGGGTTGCATTCCTAAATCCAGTCTATCCATGGATCCACATTTCCTCCTTGCAGATGTGCCCGATTCCCAGCACTCGTGCCCTTGGTGTTTTGAAAAGAAATCCAGCACAGCTTGAAGGTGTGGAATCCTTCAGTGAGTGCTGGCAGAGAGACACAGTTTGGAGAGGTGGAAAACCCTCTGAAAGCCGGGGGGAAGCTCCTGGTGAAGCTCCAGGAGTGAGTACCTCATTTATATGCACGCAATCAACAGCTCTGCAATTAGAGAGGTGTTATAAATAGGATGTGGTGGGGCTGCCCAGCTTTCCCAGCGCTCTCTAATTTGCCCCTGGGGCTGCCAGGAGCTGAGAACTCCGTGTCCCATCAGCAGCTCCAGTCCCACCCTCAGGCCAAGCCTCATCAGTCAGAGGGGAGGAAGCTCTCAGATAAACACGGCGCAGCCTCAGCTCCCAATCGCTCCCGGCTTCCGCTTCCAGGCCCTATAATTAGAAGTCCTTCTTTTCCTTGTATTCCCAGTTGACGCAAATGCTTTTTGTGGCTTGGCACCTCATTTAGGGCGTGGGCTTAGTTTATGGCCAGGCCAGAGTCTGGTTTAGTCTTCTGATACTGCATAAATAGCTCTTAACCCACAGTCTACATCTGTACTAGTTTTTCCTTTTATGCATATATTCCTCGTGTTTTCATTTCTATCCTGAAAGAAGCTGATTGTTTCCCCAAACAGAATGCAGGAAAAGAAGGAAGCTGTAAATTAGGGCAGGTAAAACAAAGCTTTGCTAATTTTTTTCCTCCATCTAGGATATCTGTTCCTTTCAAACTGGATTTTAATAATCTCTGTGGATTTAAAACAACCACACAGTAAAACAGTCATTAATTTAATCTGGCTGCACCCTTGCACTGTGGATAAGCAAAATCAGAATTTTTGCAATGAGATATATACTAAATAAAGTCTGGTTTACACATAAATTTCCACTGGGTCCTGTGTTTGCAAGTCTTCCAATGGATTTCAGCTGTTATCTGTTAAACAGGGATTAATGCCAGTCTGAAAAATAAGCAGGAAATCCTCAAGAATTATTCACTTTTCATCTCTGATTATTCACCCATAAAGTCCCTCGTAAGAGAAAACATTTGGACTGAACTTAGCACGGCTTTAACCTGTATTTCCATCTAAACAACTTTTTGGGGAAACTGTCACAAGGTCTCTTAAGAAGCTTGAGTTGAAGTTTCCTGCACTTGAAAGTGAAAGTGAGGTAGGACCAGGATTCCAGTTTGTGTTTCTCTGCTGGGATTAGGAATTCCTGCTGGGATGCTGCGGGGAGATGGAGACAAACAAAATGGCTGAGCTGTGATAAGGGAAAACGGATTCTTCAGTGTGAAGTAATGAGAGCTGGAAAATCCCACCACAAACCCCAGCCCAGGGTTCTGAAACATGGGTGATTTATTGTTTGAACAACAGCAGCAAGGAAGAGATGTCAAAATGCTGTTTTATAAATACACGTTCTCTCCCATCTGTGGTGTTGTGCTTGGGACCTCTGTGTTGATACAAGTCCTGCCAGAATATATTCGTAAATGCAAATGTAGGTGTGAAAGGTCTGTCTTTAACTTACTGAAAAGGAGTCTCTAATACAAGTGAAGGGCCTGTTTTCCCTGGGCTTTCATCTAATAAATGCATTTATTCTGAACAGGACAGGCAGCAGGAGTTAAGATTAGACACAAATTGCCAAATCAGATACCACCCATCTTTCTATTTTTAATTCCTTTCCAGCCACAAATGTGTTATCTTTCACCTCTGTACTCCTTCAAGTTAGCAAAAACAGAGAAAAGAAACCCCAAACCAAACCCAGAAAAACCAAAGGCAAAGCACACATGGAACCAAGAGCTGGGAGCATCATCTGGAGCTGCTCAGAGCTGCAGGTAGACAAGTGAACGTCAGGGCTGTGGCTGCTGGGATCTGAGGTGTCACTGAAGGAGCAAACAGGGACCACTGTGGGGTTCTGGGGGCTCATGTGCCACAGGTTTTGGTGTTTGTGCCCAAAGCGAGCCCTGCTCTGCCTGAAGACAGCACTGCAGGCTTGGGAAGGAGCCTGTGAGGAGCAGGGGGATGATTCCCTCCTTGCACTGCCCGCAGACACCTGCGGCTCTCGCCAGCGCTGGAAACCAGATCCCGCTGAGCTGAACACCCATGGATTGCATGGATAACACAGGACCATGATCCCGGTGTTTTCACTGGCTCAGGATCATTACACAGCGTTTTGTCTCCAGTTCCAGACAGATTTTTGGCGGATTTAGGGTGTTTTTTTTAACATCTTCTGTGCTGAGATCCCCACTGTGGAGAACACTGTGCTGGGATCTCCGGGTGCACTCAGCCCTGCGTCTGTATTTGTAAAAGACTTCTCGAGCCTTAGGGGAAGAAAAAAATATCTGTTTGCAGAGCTTTTCTGCTCAGTATTCAGAGAAGTCTTATGGACCCATCTCCTCCAGCCTCTCCTTCTCCGAAGGTTCTTTCCATCAGGAGCAAGAGAGCACAAAAGGACCCAAAGCACCCTCCATGTCTGTATAAAGCTGCCTAATGCATGATGAGAGATAAACATGGGAATAGAGAGGATAAATTCTTATTGGTTTGAATTAGATCTTTTGGAATATCCTCACTCCAGTAACAGCAGCAGCCTAATTCCAGCACACAAACCCCTCTTTGCTTCCAGCTTTCTCTGCTGGAAATGCTATATATTATTGAGGACCGCACACTTCACTAGAAGGGAAGTGTAGTTTGTGATGTTGCAGAACTGAATTAATGCAAATTGTGTGCATAATCCCACACGAAAGGCTTGGCTGCCTCGCACCGGAGCAACTTGAGCTGTATTTCCTATCAACACAGTCACTACAAATCAAGGAAATTGCCAGTTAAGCCAACATTAACATCCAGACCAACCTCAGCTCACATGCCTTACCGCCCAAACATAATACCCCAGCGCTCTCCCGGATTTCTCAGCTCCATAACAAACTCCCTTTCATTTCTAACGCTCGGGCCCGGAGGAACAGCCGGGAACAGTAAAAGTGTGTCTGCTGGAGGGAATCTTGCTGAGCTCAGATGTGAGATGGTGCGTTTGTGGAGCTGCAGGAAATGCCTGGGTGCAGCGTGGGTGGCCTGGCCGGGCCCAGGCCCTGCCAGCCTCGGTGGTCAAGCCGAGGGGAAGCTTGGAGGCAGTTTTGTCTCCGAGAGCAATTTGGATTTTGTGCCTTGCTGCTGTGGGCCTCAGCGCCTTGGAATTGCCTGTTTGGCGTGTCAGGATCGTTCTTCCCAAGGTTTTAGGGAAGCTGAGGCATGCCCTGCTGGTGCCACACGGGCTCTGAGGTGCTGCCTTGCCCTGGGTGGGGTTTCAGGGCTTTGGCCACTGAAATGTTCCTGCCTGCACCTAAAGGACCCAATCTCTTGAATTCCAGGATTGCCAAAGAGGGAAGAACACTCAGGAGACCAATCTAGTGATGAAATGGTGGTCCTGTAGAAAAGCTAATTGCACTTAATTTTTACTCTGCTGCTTGGCACACTTTTTACAGTTTAATAGTAAAATTTTCCAAGTGTCATAAGGTAGGAAATCAGTGCTAATGTGTGAGAGGTTTCAAATGTGTGCTGTTGGTATCTGAGGCAGCAGAGGGAAAGCAGTTCCTGGTGTCACCTGTAAATAAATGAAGGCAATGAACATTTATTTATGACAGAAATAAGATAACTGTTTATCCTCTGAGTAAGTGTCATGTAAAACATGGGGACTAGGTTCTCTTCCTGCAGGATAAAAGATTTCAGTTGTGCTTTATATGGAGAAATGTTGCAACCGACCTGAGTGGGAATTCCTGATTTTTCTTTAATAGATGGGTGCCTTGAAAATTATTTAGAATGTTGTTATTAAACTGCTAAAATCACTTTGTACTGGATGTTAACTAAATGTCAGAGGGTTACTTTGGGTGATAACAGATTAAGTTTCATTAATAACAGAAAGATAAATCTGTAGTTTATTACTGTAATCCTAAGTTCTATCATGATTCTGTATTTTCTTTATATGTACAAAAATACTTAATTTTTTGGTATAAATTTATGGCAAATTCACTTCAAGTATCTATAACTGTTTAAAACTGGGTTATGGGATGAGACATTGTGGTTCTGCTGGTCTAATTGAATCATTTCAGTACCTCCACCAGTGAGCTGTTTTTGATGAACCTGGTACCTCATTTAGTCTTTCATTTGAAAGCTCTCAGCTCTGCTTTTCACCAATAAATCAGACAGTTTCATTTATAAGGAAGATGCTTCTTCAGGATTGTTTTGGTATGGTCTGTTTTGGCTGGATTTCGATAATCTCCTCTTCCAAAAATTGTTATTGTGGAGACATCAATCTTTTTTAGACTGGCTCTTGCCCAGGGAAGAGCATTTTGGGGTTTTGCTGTAACATTCATCACTTCAATGCTTCATATTGGTCACACAGTTCTCAAATTTACTTTGAATATTCAGATTTTTCAGATGTTTTTATAGATTTATGTTGTAATACCATCTTAATATATTAGTACTTAAGTTGTAGTACTGTGAATATGATTTCAGTTGAAGTCCTGATTCATTTTTATGAGGTGAATCCCTTTCAGTTCAGTAATTTTCTGTGTTTTCTTCTGTTTCCAAACCTCAAATGTAAGCCACGCTCTGTTTTTTAGATAGACACTTTAAGCCTCTTCTTTTGTGATTAATCTCTTGTGCTTTTGTGTTTTTTTGTTTGTTTTTTTTTTACCCAGGGATGTTGCTGGTCACCACTGACACATTAGGCCATGATTTCCATGTTTTTCAAATCCTGACACATCCTTGGTCATCATCACAAAGTGCCGTCCATCATTTGTACACACTTCACAGGGGAGAGACCGAAGCCAAAGTAAGTTAAACTCTTTGCTGGAGAATAATCCCCAGACACCTTATACATTCTGTGTATGTTGGCACTTTAATGTTTGTTTCAGCACACAAAGAGCCTTTCTTGTGCTCCAGCCACAGAAGGGATAAGAGCAGAGCGTTTAACCTGGACAATAATAAATTCTTGCCCTTTGCAATGAGGTGCTGTCAGATTTATTCAGATCTGGCACTGCCTCCAAAGAGCCCTGATTATTGGCTGTGTTTGCACTTAACCTTTTCTCATGTAACATGTTCAACATTTGTCTCGTGCCCGTGAAGGAACTGTCAACATTTGCCTGACTCTGGTGGTAAAAGCCACAGACAGACAATTAAAGAGTTGAAAAGAAGAGTTAATCAAAAGGCTGTGATTAACTTAGCACAGTGGGGGAACCTGCAAAGGCTCCCCAGTTTAACTTCCCTGTTGAAAAATCCCTCTCTCAGAGATGGAGGACTAAGTTAGGATATTATCCAAGAGTGGAAAAGTCTGGAATTGTGTTTCAAGCAATGCTTAGTGAAGTGATTTGCTGGTGAGGTGGGGAAATGGGAGCTGCTGTCACTGGCAGGGCTGTGGCTGTGGCGGCAGCGAGTTCTGCTCGAGTCCTTCGTGACGACGCTTTTGGGCACAAGCAGAGCCTCACCTTTGGAGCACTGAGGAGCTGCTGAGGAACCTGCTTTAAATACAGGAATAAAAATGTCACCAGAGGGTAAGAAATGAGTATTGCACTTTCTGATGCAATTACACAGGGGAAGCACAGACTTGTGGCAGTCTGGCAGATGTAAAGTGCTGTGACAGGGACAGCCTGGGGCTCTGTGATTATGGCCTTGGCACTGGGAGCTCGGCTGGTTCTGGTACCTGATTACAGTTCCTTCAAACCTATTTTTTTCCCCTGGGAGTTGAGCAGTTCCCCTCAAGTTCCTCACCATACCTTGGTAACAAGTAGAATGTGAAAGCTTTATTGAATGTAGCAGTGGTTGATCAAGTTTTGTTCTGGGTGAATTTATATTTCTGGTAGTTTAAATACTCTAAAGCTTTCCTGCTGCCATTCTGGAAAAGTGGAATTGCTGTTACAGGCAATGGTTTACTATAAGAAGCAATAACCAATCTGGAAAGTGAGAGGAAATTAGGAGAAAAATTTCATTTGGATAATATATATAGTACTAACAAGAGGTTTTTATGAATATTACAAAGAGCAATGAGATCTGTGTGTATACACATACTCTGCCATCTGCTTGGGCATGTTCTATAATGTGTTTAATGTTTTAGAGTTATTTTTGTTCTCCCTTCATACAAAGACTCAATATTTAAATCCAAAGCACAGGACTTCAGTCATAAGGAACAAAGATGTTCTTCTGGTTTTTACAGCTGATAAATTTGTTTTCAAGGCACACACTGGAAACCAAACAGAACATGTTTTAGAGAAGAAACCCTTATTGATACATGTTTTTTTGGGATATAGTATTAGCATCTCCGTGAAAGCATTGCATTAAAATTCTCAGAATCAACATAGTAAAATTTTTTCCTCGTTTGCCACACAGTTTTCATTTGGGATGTGAACAGTATAGCTTTTGGAATGGCATAAAATGGAGAAAATTCTAACCAGTCTGAGGTGTGTTGGTGGATTTCACAACTCCCTGGATAATTAAACAATATTGCATTGGTACCTGTGATTCTCAACACACATAGTTTGAAATATTTATATAATATGGGGGATTGTTTTACTTTTTTCTTTTTGGATAACGGCACTTGTAGCTGTTCAGTGAGAGGAGAGTTTGCTGGTGCTGCTCTTTTGTTGTGTGAATTTCACGTATGAGAAGCATTAGACAAGAACTTTGGAGATTGTTCAATATAAAACTCTCAGTGCAGCCCACACTGGGAGCCTCTGTCTGGCTAGAACAGTATTTATACATTTGCTACCAGACCTTTTTCCTTTTTTCTTTTTTTTTTCCCCCTGATTTAAAACTAACTGTGAATCAAGGCCAATGGTCTTAAAGGTCACCTTCTGTACTGGAGCTATAAAAAGTTCTAATTTGTGTTGATGGACATGAGTGATTATCAGTGTCAGAATTTGTTTAGCTAGTACCCATTCTAAATTGTTTAAACATCATCATTATGGCCATGTTATATGTGGGATTTTAATGTCCATGCTGAAATCAGCTCTGCTTTTGTACATGAGTTTTTGGCTGTCAGCACTTCACCCCACTTTTCCAAAATCTCCTTTTTGTGACTCAGATGAAGATGGGGTGGGATGGAAGGTGGGCCTGTGCCTCAGAAGGGAATTGTGAAGACAATGTGAAGACAATGGCCATGGCAGAATGTGAAGTGCTCACTGAGTCCCAAGGTCACAGCATTCAAAGTCACTGTTCTGCAAACACAGACAGGAGTCCCTGTTTCGGTTCTATCAGATTAAGATCTTTTAGCCTTTAAGTGCCACTTGGGCTTTAGATTTTATATTTTTTTTCCCTAAAGAGGACAAAGGGCAGCACTGAGTAACACCAGGAAGGTCCATTGCAAGGGCTGGTTGTATTTAACTGAGTCAGAGAGAGAACTGAACCTCTCAGAGGATCTGTGCCTGCACAGTTCAGCTGTAAAGAGAGAAATGTGCGTGTGCATGTGCTGCACATTTTGGTTAAGGACACATTTTCTTGTCCTTTAGCTCTTGCATTGTGAGGCAGCACTTACTGCACTCGTGTTTTTACCCAAGAGCATTCTGGAAGGTTTTTATTGAGGGCATAGCATGTTCTGAACTGAGGAAGCTCATTTACTTACAGATGAAAGTTAGCCTGTCACCTGATGATCCTTTCCTCTTTGATCTGAAATTGTAAACAGCGAAAACAAAATCCTTGAAAACAGCATTATCTCAGCCTAGGACAAATAAACGTAACGATAGCATCAGCTGGCTGCTGGCCAGCTCCTCTGTAATCCTTTACTCTGTCAGACTTTTGTTATTCCCACTCCCAAACTGCAGCTAGAGCTGACTTCAGTAGGAGAAGGTAAACAGAGGGAATGATAAAAACATTCCAGCCTGGCTGCCGCGGGACACGCGCCATGGAACGCTTTTCCAGGGAACACACAAATGCTTCAGTGATGTCATTCCACAGAGACTGTTCAAGGTTGTGTCACACCCCTTGCCCAGGTAGTGAAACATTGGAACAACTTCCAAACATTGAATGTGAATCTCCATGGCCTTGAGGAATTCCTTCCTGTCTGTGACATACTCATAGTTGCAATTATTGAAATAGACTCTGTAAGATTAGGAAGACTTTCTTATTTCTAGAAAAGAAGCTGGGATAGGCTTGAAATAATCAAGATTGATTTGGGGAAGTTGATCAGTCTCAGATGAGAGCTAATGAGGAGCTGCTGCAGTCTGAAGTAGCTTGGCTGCCTTGGGGAGACGGAGCCATGAGTGTTTGCAGGCTCAGTTCTTAATAGGGAGCTCAGCTCTGGTTAAAGGCCAGTGCAAGTCTGTCACTGTGCCCACATTCTGCCCTTGCTTTCACACAAAACTGGAATCAGTGTTGAGCACTTGGGGAGACAGAGTTGGGTCTGTGTGGATCTGAGAAATCGTATTGTGTAGACCATGATTTTATTATTTTTTCATTTATGTTTGTTGCTACATCATTTCCTTAATTTTCTCAGCCAAAAAAATTCACATACAGACCAGTTTTCTAATTTATTTTGACCCTTACCTCCTCAGGACTGCTGCTCTTTCTCATTGTTTAATGATACTGGCTTTTTCTTTCTGCCATCTCCCTGCACAGTATAATTAAATACTTGAGTCCTGGTGCTTCAAATCAGGGTGTTTTTTCTCTGTGACACAGCACAGTGATCATGAACAGGTCATGTTCCTGTTGCAGGTCCTACACTCCAAGTTTAATTAAATGCAGTAAAATGCACAGGAATATCAGAATATCAGATTGCATCTGATGTAACTCCACACAGCTGACAGAGGGGTGATAGGAAGAAAAAAAAAAGTGGGGAAGATCAAAATGTGGTTTATTTCTTGTCATTATTATTAAATCCAAGGTTCTTCATTGTGAGGTTGGTTTTCTTGCTGTTACATGATTTACCTGGACACAGTCCTGTGCCAGGTGCTCTGGGCTGACCCTGTTTGAGCAGGGAGGTTGGACCAGATGAGCCTCTGTGGCCCCCTCCAGCCCAAGCCATCCTGTGCTTCTGTGATTCTGTAATAGCAGAAAGGATTTTTTGATCTGTATGGTATTGAAAGCTGGTCCTCAGTAGAGCTGTTGACATGTGCTGTGTCCTTGGAGGACTCTGTGTATTAAATTACCTGACTGTGTCACTCAGGGCAGGCTCTGAGTGGTAGCTACATTTTAATTCAGTTTTCTGGAGGATTTGACATCATAATGTTCAAAAGACAGGGAAATAGAAAAGTGGAAGCTAGAAAGAAGCACAGAAGAATAATTGGATGGAAACAGGAGGAGACAGGAAGCACATTGACCTTTTGGAGCAAGTCCAGAGAGGCCACCAAAATGTGTAGAGGGCTGGAGCCCCTCTCATGTGAGGAAAGGCTAAGAGAATGGGAATTGTTCAGCCTGGAAAAGAGAGGCTTTGGAGTGTATTTGTGGCCTTCCAGTACCTGAAGGGAACCTGGAAGAAAGATGGAGAGAGTCTAGGACTGAAAAGAATTCGAAAATATCTCAAGGCTTCCCAAATTAAACAAAATCTCAGGTCTGTTATTCCCTTTACTGGTCCAGACAGAAAAGGATAGATAAAATTTTAATATACAGACGTGAGTATTAAATGTGGCATTGACCTTGAGCTATAGAATAAACTTTGCATCATGAGAGATCTGGTGTACTTTGTACTTCATTAACATATATCTGTAAACACTATGGGGACTTGATTGATCTTTGGTATCTAAACATTACATCATAATTAACAACAAATCCAGAAATATGTTATAAATACATGAAATAATAGTACATTAACCTAAAGAACAGCAATAAATTGCAACGCTTAGCATAAACTTGAAAACCACTAATGGGCCACTGTGCAGTTTGTTTATACTCGGAGCAGTCGAGAACTCGGCGTAATGTACAGGAACGTGGCGGGGAACAGCATGGCCCAGGGCATAATTTATAGGGGTTTATTCATGGACACAGCTGATTTTTGAAGTTGTTTCTGAGACTGCCACGATGAGCATTGTCCTTTTAGCCTGGTCCATGCCTTCTTCCAGTTCTCCTGGAGAGTTATGGGCTCCTTTGCGTGGCACAGATGGATTTGTGCTGGTTTGATGTGAGCGTGTTTAATTCATGCCCTTGGAATTGGAAATATTCTCTGAATCACCCCCCTGAACTGCCTGTGGTTCTGCTGCTCCTTGTGTATCTGTGAAAGACAAACGAGGCCGTGTTTGAGAGCAGTGAGCAATAGGTGAATCACGTGGAACAGCAGCTTCCAAAATACTCTTTGCCACTGCTGAGCAGGGTTTCATAGCTGTGTTCCTGTAAATCTTAATTCATTGCACACTCTTCTGTCAACACTTTTTTCCATGTTATTTACTGAGCATTAAAACCCTTCTGCCTTTGTGGTTTCAGCCATGTTTTAGACAACCATGGCCATTCTGCCTGCTCTGACTGCAGCCAGAGTTTGTGAGCACTGTTTTAAAGAGAACATTTGGGATTATGGAGTTCCATGCTTTCTTCCTGTAGATCAGGAATACTTTTTCTCTTTGCAATGTTTACACTGAGGAAAAAAAAAACATCCTGTAGTGATTGTTTCCCAGTTTCTTGGCTGGGGTTGTCCTTTGCCAGGGCTGTTGTGTGCAGTTTTTGAAACAACATAACCCTCAGGGTGCCAACTGGAAACAGAGTATTAAAGTAGAAACACACGGTTTTGTTGCATGGTACAGTGAGATGGAATTCTTTCTCTGTCATCTCATAGTTCTGCTGTAACTGAGAGTGGCAGTTTCTACACGGTTCATATGTTTGGTTTTGACCAGGAGAATTTGCCACTTTAACAGCAAATACTGAAATACTCTTGGTGCCATCGTTTTCCCTGACTCCACTACCTTGGGGTTTTTTTTTTGGAGCTTTTATTAATCCCTGTGGGGTCTGTAATCCCTTCTGAACAATCTGTTAAGGTGAAGCACTTTGTAAGTGAACTGGGAGCTCCAGTGCTGCTCTGTAGGTCAGTCAGAGCTGAACACTGGAAGTGCCAAAGCTGTCAGGTTTTGGGGGGCTCTCTGAGCTGCATCCCTGGCGGCTCCTTTGGGGATGTCACCAGGACTGAAAGGAGCAGGTGTGTAGCGCTGGTTTTAGTTTATCTCTTAATGTTGATGAAGCATTTTGTGTCGTGGCAGTCTGTCAACCAAATATCTTGTCACAAGTCACAAGACTTAAACCCTTTTTTTATCTTCGAGGCTTCAGGGCTCAGTTTGAAACTTGCACTTTGATGAATACTTAGCTGCTTTTGTCTGGAATAGCTGGAGTGCATTTCTGGAATATTTGTCAAGATTTTATCAGTGTTTACTCCAATTTGAGTACCTAGTGTATTGTAAAACTGGCTTCGGTGAAATCTTAAAGAATTTTATTTAGTTTATGCTCTTTAATAATATAATGAAAACTAATCCTTCACCTATATGTTTGTTTGCCATGGTAAATCCCACTTATGTCCATGGTTCCTTTTAGTCAGCTTTTACCTTTAAAAACATTTTTGGAAGAATTGTTTCAGGACTTTTTTTCTGTATGATAAATCATTTTAACTTTGACTACTTGTTTTCTTGAGTAGTCTGCCAGGACGGGCTTGGAAACAAACTTTAATCTCTCTTTTAAAGCATTCCATCAGGAACAAGAATTTGCTTTCCATCAAAGCGTTGTGTAAAACACACTTAAAAGAGAATTAAATCCTTCTGGGCTTCGTATCTGAGATCTGTGCAAGGAATAACCATAGTGGAAAATGTTTAACTGTATTTTTATATTTGCTTCAAAACTGACCATTTTAAGCTAAAATAAGATTTGTGCCAGTATTTGTCAAAATCAGACCCAGTGGTGAGATCTCTTTCTTTTCTTCTCATCCCTCCCTTTTCCCGTTTTTGGTCAATCTCTTAAAGATTAAACAAGCAAATACAAAACATGTAATTGAAACAATTTTCCAGCTCTTTTTAGAACAAAATTCTGTTTGAAAACTACACCAAGATCTTGTGGCTTTCTGCAGCCCTTTGCAGCATGGTTTGTTTTCATAATCTCAGAATATTTTGAAAAGTACAGAAAATTAGGAACTGTAAATAACAATGTATCTACAGAATACTAAATTCATTGATAAATGCACCAAAATTCAAGTTATTACCTAAAAATGAGGGGTGTTTTTCCCATTTCCAGTTCAGACGTGTGTTTGAGCCATGACCCCTGTGTTGGAGGTGTGCATTCATTGCTGTCACCGCTGTTTTCCAGGTCCAGGATATCTCCTTCAGCCACGACTGCCGCTGGGTGGTGGTCAGCACGCTGCGAGGCACTTCCCACGTTTTCCCCATCAACCCCTACGGAGGCCAGCCCTGTGTCAGGACTCACATGTCCCCACGGGTGGTCAATCGCATGAGCCGCTTCCAGAAGAGCGCAGGGCTGGAGGAGATCGAGCAGGAGCTGACGTCGAAGCAGGGAGGACGCTGTAGCCCCGTGCCCGGCCTGTCCAGCAGCCCCTCTGGCTCACCTCTCCATGGTAAATCCACTTTCTTCCTTTCTTTCCATTGGGAGGATAATATGAATTTCATAAAATGAGGTCCTGTAGATATTGTGCAAAAATACATGATGTATGCAGGTACTGCAGGATGAGCTAAGGTGGAAACACTTTGGAAAGATGGTTCTAGTTTTGCAGCTTGCTTTGAGTAAATGATGGTAGCACAGGTGTGGTAAGAATTTCTACTCGAAACTGAAAGGTTGGGGGTCTTTAGGTTTCAAGTTTTGTTTCCATGTACCACACAGTCAGTAAACTGGTCTGTATTCAGATAATTTTATTGACTAAAATTCTCATTGCTCATTGGCCTTTCTGATCACAGAGCACATCTACAATAAATACTGCTCAAGGAGAAATGAAGCTGATGGCACAGATTTGTGTCTGCTTTTTTTGTGTGTGTGGGAACAATGTGACAAATAATGTGTAAAGGTAAAAAAAGTCTGTAAGAATTGATCTGTCCATCCTGTTCCTGTGGTGGATGTGCCTTGGAAAAACTCAAAGGATGTGAAGGGGAGCCTCAAAAAATGTTCAAAAATTTTCAATGCCGTAGTTTTTCCAGTTTTGTCTTTTCTTCCAGCCTTCCTCTTTCATGAGGTCTGTGCTAGAAGCTGTTTTGTTTGAATTCAGGATTTGCTGCATCCTCATGCCTCCTTTCTGTTGGGAGTAAGTCACAAGTTCCATGGAAGTGAAAGTTTGAATAGCAGTTTGTTTGGGGTAGCCACCCTTTTCCAGTCTGAGAGTATTAAAAATGGCCAGGAACAGTCCCTCTTCCCTAATTATGAGTAGGATTAGGAGCTCTTGTGAAAGCACAACTTTGTGCTGGGCTTTCTGCTATAGAGAGAACCTTTGTGGGATTTCTGAATCAAAGGAACTCTTTTATGACTTGGTGATTATTAAGGGAATCAGACTTGTCTCAGAACAACCCTATTTTTGCCTTTCTTTGGACTTCTCTGAACAAAAGTTTGTGCGTGGCTGTTCTGGAGCCATCCTCTTCTGCCTGGAGCCACTGGAAGGCACCCAAAACGTGCTCTGAACTTTCTTCCTCCTTGGAGACAGTTGTGTATCTACCATTTCACTTCCTCTCATCTCTGTACAGCAGCTCAGCCTGAAACGGGCTGGGGAGTGCTCCACAGGTTTGCTATGGCACATCCAACCCCTTTTAACTGTGGGCATCATGGAGAGGAGAGGAAGGAACTTTGAATTTCTGTGGCTATCACCCAGCCAATTCTATTTTCTGTCAAGGGAAATTGCAGTAAGTCATTGCCTTTGCAGTACTCTGAGGTACATTTGAAGTTTTGAATAGGTTTGATACTTTTTTAAAAGAAGAATCAGCAGTTTCAGGATGCTCAGTGGTGGAGGCAGGAGACAGGCGTGCATGGATGAGTCACTGAGAGAAAGGCAACAGCTTTTAGGAGAGTGTCTCCAGAGTTCTGGGGCTTCAGTTTGCAATTGTCTGTCTTGAAAGATAATAAATCAGATTTCTTTCAAGATCTCTGTGCAGTCATCACTTCTTGAGCTTGAAAATTAGCTCTGTTTAAACAATCAGCTCAACTGGAAGTCTGCACATGGGTGCTGAGAATTAAGGCAGGAAGGTGTGACTTCGATTCCTGGAGGACTTCACACAGATTGTGCTCATCACTTCTGCAGTGCAGAAGTTGGACACGTGTTATGGCTGTATGTTGGTAACTTGCAAAACTTCATATGAACATTTTCCATGAGAAATTTGCGGGGATTATTTGAGGATTGAGGAGTTAGCACAGATATCTTAAAAAAAATAGGAAATAAAATAAAACAGTTGTGTTTGAAAGAGTCCATTTGGCAAAATACTGTAATATTTTCAGTAATTTTATTGCTGCTTTTTCATTTCAGTAATCTTTCAGTTCCCCTGGCTGAAGGCAGGCAGGATATTGAACCCTATTCTAAGCTTTTTATAAAAAGCCATTTATCATCGACTTGTAAAAAATCCCTGAAGTTCAGAGAGACTTTCAGCAGAGGGACTGTGTGTGTGTTTGTGTGTGTGTGTGTGTGAGAGCAGAATTACCCAGAGACTGATGATTATTTTAATTTGTGAGCTAAAATGTGTTTACTTAGATTGTAACAGCTCCTTACCGTATTATAATGTTAAATTATTGTTGTTTGGAGGAGTCTCGGCAGTCTGGTGACAGAAGTGTAAACGAGTACTCGAAACAGAAAAGAGCAGTTCTGGGTTTAATTCTTTGCTTTACTTCTAACTCGCTCTGCAACCCTTGGTGAATTTTATTCAGCTGATTTTGTCTGTCAGCTCTCTGCTGTGTGACAACAGTAATAATCTCTGTGTTCCCCCCGTGTGGAATGACTTTAATTTTGTAGCTTTCTTCAAGAAGAATAACTGTTATGCTCCTTAATCACCCCTCTAAGTGCAGCTGATTATAATGGAAATAAAATCAGAGATGTGTCCTGGAGAGCACCATTGCTCTGGGATAAGGTGTTGATTAAGTGACTGATTCAGAGGAGATTGTGGCAAACTGAAGGATTTTTCTGTGTGGAGTCACGTCATCACGATTTTCCTCTTACATCTTTGTCAATTTTTTGTAAACCCTACATTAAAAAAAAACACTGCTTTTAATCTTTCTGCTGATACTCCTTTTGCATTGCAGTATCATTGCTACAACCTTAGTCCAAAAGACTGCGCTGGTTTATCTTCCCTTTTGCTTAGCAATTGTAACTTATTGATGGTTACTTGTGATTAGCTGTTCTTGTAAATATTTTCAGAACTCAGGCTCTGTCATATTTTTCTCACTCGTTTTTTTTACCTCCTGGTTTCAAAATGAAACTGTTTGCTGTGTATATAGTAGCAAGGCAATCTATTTACATTGTGTTGGAGCACCCCAGGATTGTTTACCCACACAATGTCAGCCTTTGCTGGGGGTAGGGATGATTTCATTTCCAAATGAATCATTGTTTGGCTTAGCTCTTTCCAGCAGAATGAAATAAACTGTTAAATAGAGGATGATAAAGAGATATTTCCTTTGCACCTTTTATAGCCGACAGAGATTTTGTTTGGGCTGTTCTGTCTGTTAATGCAGCAAGATTGTATTTTTATCATTCCCTTGAATTGCCAGAGCGTGTTGTCAGGAATATCTGAGATATGTTGGGATCCTTTTATGGGCTTTTACTATTATAAGACTATTACAACATCGGTTGGTTGTTGGGGTGAACATTAGGGTAAAATAAGGCCTTATGTGACCATTTTACTTGTGTAAAATTTGGTTTATGGTCCTTACCTGTCTCACAGGTAGGCTGTGAGGATTAAGGGATGAGTACTTAAAGCAGAGCTGCGTTCCTGGTGATGCAAACTTCTCCCCGTTCTCTTCAGGACATCCACATGTGAATAGCAAGGAGCATTTAGCTGTAAAAATACAATGATTTACTTGGAAGGTTGAAAACTGCATACAACTCCAATTATTTTAATCCTGAAAATTAAAATTTACAGAATGTTATTACTTCTTGCACCACCAGTAAGTGAAATAAAGTCTCTGTAGCTCTGCTTGCTCAGTTTTCTCTGTTGTTGGCTGCAGGAATTTCCAATACCAGAACAAATAATAATCCAGTAAGTTAACATTGGATCTACAGCTACACATCCACACCTACTAAAAATATTCCATAATAATATGATACTCTCTGAATTTGCTTTGCATTTTATTGGGGATTGAAGTATTTATTTATTTGCCAGAAAACTGTTCATAGTACGACGTGGTTCTGTTTCAGATTTAATACCCATGCTGAGAGGGAGTATATAAATTTAGAATTATGAAAAAACCATGTTGTTTTCGATACAGTGCATTCAGGCTGGTATTTATCTCTTTATAAATATTTTAGTATGGCACGTTTTTCATTGCAAAATCTTTTCTAAGTTTAAAAACCAAAAGGTTTTCTCTTGCTTTTCCTTCATTTGTGACAATAGCAACATGATTAAAATCCAACATAAAACTGCAAGTTTGATAAACATGCAGCCTGAGATGCTTTACATATTTTCACGTTACTTTTCACTATTTCCCAGAGTGAAACTCCTTTTACTAGAAGAATTCTTATGGGAAAGCAGAGTTGAAAGGACTGACATCATCAGCCCTTCCTGAAAAACAGATCGGTTTCCTTTAAGTAACACTCACTTAAGAAACCACCTATTTAGAGAGAGGCAGACAAAAATAGTTTCGAAGAAAATTAACTGTATAATAACTTAAAGCATTGGAGGGCAGTTCTTTCACGAAACTCTGTGAACACGAGCTGAAAACGGTTCTTGGAAAACTCTCTGTAAAGTTTAATTTCTTTCTTTATAGCGTCTCACGATAGAAACAGTTTGCGCAACAGCAGAGGAAGCTGAAGCATCGGCCCGCGTTGTTTTAACGTGTTTTAAACATTCCTGTTTGTGTCATTGTCGTGTTTCTCCACAGCGTAACACTCGGCTCTTTTAAAATTTAAGCGTCATTTCAAATAATTCGAAATAATTCCTTTTGCACCTCCGTTTTTAGCGCAGATTTCACCCTAGACGCGTCCGCCCGCGCCGGCTCCCTCAGCGCTCCCGCCTCACCCTTGGCGGCCTGCAGGGGGCGCCCTCCCCCCGGCCATGGCGCCTCAGGCGGGGCCGGCCCTGAGGGGGGACCTGGCGTGGAACCGCCGTAACACGGACAAATGGTGGCGGCGAGGATAAAACCCTCTCTTTTTCACTAATACAGGCACTGAGCTGCTCGTATAGGCATCATAAATATTTATTTATTTGCAAGTATAAGTCCTCCACATTCTCTGTGCTGCCTGAAGCATCGGGTGATTTTCTTCACACCTTCAGCTGAAGTTTCTCTTCACGGTTTTAAGGCAGTTGGGGGAAAAAAACAAGATTAATTTACCTAGTGAGAATTTTCCCCTAATGACTTTTAGAGACCATTCTATGATGCTGTGATGATTCTTTCTTTCTGGAGCAGTCCTGGTGGTGGCGGTGGAAGGTCCCACAAGGGCTGGGAGAAGAGAGCTGGAATCACCAGTTTGGGAACCGGCCAGCAGCTTACTGGGTTTAAGGGAGCTGTGTTTGCTGTATTTTAGCTGCCTTTTTTTTCCCTTCCTCTCTTTTTTTGGTAGTGGGTAGAGAATCAGTGGAGTGAAATAAGTGGGTGGTGTATTTTGGATAGTTTCTGAAGTGGAAGGAAAAAATCCATTCCCTTCAGATAAGTAGGGAAGTAGACTGATAAATTCTGTCACAGGGGAAGTTTGTATCTGTACATCAAGTATTTCTGAAGCAGGTTTTTGTAAACAGCATAGATCGAAGACTGGGGCATGTTTGTATTGATATTTGAAAGAGAAGTTTTGAATATTCTGGATAGATTGAAAATTGAAGGAGATGGACATCAGGAGGGAATTGCAGCTCTGGAGACAGGGAGTGTAAAAATCTATGACTGAGTGATTTAGTGCAGCAAATGCTGTAGCAGTGGTCAGAGCAAACTGTTTCAGAAAGGTTGTGGGTAGACAGACAGAGGGGAAATAATCGGCAGCCCACATGAGACTGTGATGGCAGAGATGGATCATGAGGTGAAAGGAAAGGGGAAGGCAGAGAGGAGTGGGATTACCAGAGATGTGAGCGTCCCACTGAAGTTTTCCTGTCAAGATGGATGATTTCAGTCTTGGTAACATCAAATGGAAGGAAATTTTGAGAGGGTCAAGTGCTGATGTGTCAGACTCAGGTACTGAGGGAGTCCAAGAAGTGGTAACTGGAATTTTAAGTGTTTATCTGAAAATGACCTAATGAATGACAGTTTGTAATTCTATGGTTATTTCAATTGTTCCTTCGATTACTCCCTCTTAGTTTACAGTAAACCCATGTTTTTCCATCCATAAATCTCCCCAGCTAACCAGGTACATAAAAGACAGGCTAGTGCATTTCCTTTTTGTACACTACAAGTAGTAACGACATCCTGCAGCTGATGCAGTGCTTTGATCAGGTTTTGCAGTTGCCAATTGGAAATTGATAAATAATGATATTAACGATCCATAAGAAGGAACATGCTCGACTTTACATCTTCTGTGTGTCAGTGCAGAGGTTTAGGTATTCGTGTGTACAGCTGAAATGAGTGTGATCAGCATAAAAGCCTTCACTAGGATTGAGATTTGGAGCATCAGTCCAGCTGAAAAGAGTTGGTCACTGAAGGAATGACGCAGGAAAGATTTTCTGCATGGTTCATGGCCAAAGCACAAAGGGGAAAGGCTGGAATTAGGTCAGGAGAAGAGTGGACTGGCACAGGGGAGACACTGCAGTCCAGACATTTATTGGTGGGTCAAGGAATGTAAGTGGTTCAAGGGAGCTGCCATCAGTGAAATGACAAGAAGTAGCTTTGCTCACCTGATACAAGCCTGTAATATGTTGGAATAGAAGGTGAGAAAGTAGAATCTAGAGTTTTTCAAGAGACCGTATCAGCTGAAGGAGGAGGTTTAAGTATGGAGGGTGTTACATGACAAGGGAGGTTTGGCATGAGGGAAGGTGAAAGCATGTGAAGCTCCGTGTAAGTAACCAACAAGGGGAAGGAACGGGGCAGGAACTGATGGGAACAAACATTTTATCTGAGTTCAAGCCCAAACACCTTCTGCTTCTCCTGGCACTGGGTATTCTGGGAATCCAGGGCTGCTCCCTCGTGTCTGCAGCCTGAATCAGGCTCCCTGTCTATATGATTGGTGATGGATTATGCAGTAAATGGGTGTTGCCCTTGCTGCCCTCTTATTTTTTTTTTTTTCCCGTTTATTATTCTTAAGTAAGGCATTTAATCAACTGTGCATCTTTGGTAGCCTGAAAAATGTAAACACTTTATGGAAAGAAACGTAAGCATTAAGATTAGAAATAAAATATACTTCTATCTTTTAAAAGGTTTATCTTTACCCTTAAATATGCTGATTGAGCTTATTCTTTTTTGCTTAGCCCTTGTGGGCTGTTAAAATCAGTTGCTTTTTCCCATCTCAAGGAAATGCATCTTTGACACTTCTCATGACCTGAGTCACGATGCTGTCACGGAGCCAGAAAACATCCTCAACGGTCATGGGTAAAAGAGCAGAGCTGCCAAGGGTGTGTGGTGGGTGCAAGAGGGACAGATTGCTACAGTTCCTATTCTATGGGTGTTTCAGACAAGCCATTTATTATAATTACCCATGGATATTATTATCAAGTTCTCAAATGCAGTGGTTCTCAAGGCACATTTTTTTTTTCCACATAACTTGGGATAAATCTCGTGTATTCAGTCCGGATTGAATTCAGAGGCTAAAATATTTGTTCTTATGGTTGCAGCTTGAGGAAAAATAAGGCAGAGATGGAAAGGTGGGGTTAAAAAAATCACAGATGTATTAACATGTAGTTTATCATCAAAACAAATTGTATTAAGCTCAGCCTTTTGGGTAAGGGGCTGCCATTAAACTTTCACCGAACACATTTGCACACAGAGATGTCCTTTAGAAATTCCCAGCCCAGTTCATTTTGCAGTTTCTAAGACTGCTGGATCAGTTTTTCTGACTGTGCTGTCTCAATACAAAAACTATTAAGCTCATTAAGATAATTTTATTCTGTATCGTTTGGAAGAGAAGTCTGAGACACCAAAATTTTCCAAAGTTTGCAATGCTGAAGTGTCTTGGAGTCGTCCCTGAAAGAAGGCTTTGAATTGAAATCTGTGGTGATCTGAATTATGATGGATGGACATGATGAGGGGCAGCAATAGTGCATTCTTGTTTTCTCAAGCGCTTCATCATTCACCAGCAGACAGTGTTAGCAAAATTCCCATGTGCAAGACATCGGAGCAGCAGAGCCTCTCCCCAGCGCCCGGAGGCTGCCTGCACGATAACCTCATTAGTGCAGTGTTAGTCTGAGCTCAGAGAGTCCTGTCCTCTCAAGAGTTTGCAGACTCCAGTCCAGAGCTGTGGTAGCCACAGCCTGTGGCCCAGAGCTGGCTTACAGCCACACAGTGGGGAGGATGGCACTGCTGCTTCGTGTTTGCAGTGCACTCCGCAGCTATACCTGTAGTAGTTATAAAAAACTAACCTTCCACTCTTCCCATCTGTGCAGAGCTGAAGGTGCGAGATCTGTTTCAAAGAGGATGGACTCGGCCCTGGCCTTTGCTGGAGATGACCCAGGAAAGGGTGGCCAGTTTGGCTGTTTTGGCTGGTAACACCATCTGCAACAGCCCAGCTGAAGCGGCGCTGCCGCTGCCTGCGCAAAGCCCGAAGCCAACAGCTGGCAAACCAGTTTGGTTGGGTTTGTTTCGAGTTTTGCCCATACATGGACTTTAGCCTTGCTCAAACAGTATTTTTAGTTAAATAAGTCCTGAAAGATGATTATTATGCCAGACTTGTGTGTGTGGTGATGGAGGGGTTGTTTTCTAAGGAAATCCAACTTTGTCCAGGTAGAGGCACAGGCAGCAAAGGGGTCATGGGAGTTCCTTCTCTGATGAGCACAAGAGGAGATTATTGGGTATCAGTGAGTGGGACACTTCATAACTGAAGTTCCTGAAACAGAAGATAGTAGAAAAAACTCCAGAAGGAGGAAGGGACTGTTATGAGGCCATGTTCAGATTTTGAGTGGATGTTGCTGAAGTTCAAGGAGCTTGGGTGAGAGGGCAGGGGACTCTGTCCCAGCAGTGACCGAGACGCTTGGGCTGGCGCTTGCATGTCTCTGCAGAGCACTCTGACTTAGGAGCTGTCACCATCACATGCCTTGCCTGGATGCAAACAGAGAGCAAGCTCTGCTTTCTTAGGGTGATCGTGAGATTTAGTGCAGCTGTGTTTCCAAAGGTTCCATATCAAACGGATTTAAATGTTACAAAAACAACCGGCTGCGTTATTTTCTCCCATCCATTCCAATGGAAGCAAGTTAGTGATAGCTTTAGCTCTGAGTAGCTACATGATATGTGTACAGTAGCTAAGACATAATATTCCTCCTTTAATGGGTCTAATTGTACTGGAAATATTGAGGGTTAGGGTGTGAAATGAGTTTAAATTTGATAGGACACAATTCAAGGAAACGGCAATGTAACTTTAATCGAGAGGCAATCGTTAACTAAAATAATTTGTTTCCTGACTTCTTCTAGGAAAACGTCTAACATTTTACAAAGGAAGATAACACATGTTGGAGTGAATAAAACAAAACATGAAAGAAAAAGCTCACTTTGGCAGTAATTAGGGCTCGTGGTGCTGGGTGTGTTTCCCGGGCCGTTACTGAGTTTGTCTGTCAGGCTCTTCCAAGGACTCCGTGAGCCAGCATTGCTTCCGCTGCGTTCTCTGCTCGGGTCACAAGGCAGCGTTTCTCACCAGGGCGCTGCTGTTTCCTCTTCCGACTGTAGTAGATTACAGATTATACTGGAACATGTCTGAGGAAAGGTCAGAAACGAGGGTGAAAGTCTTGGAACTGGAGCTGGGAAGCTTTCCATTCTCATCCGGGAAACTTTTTGTATTGAATAAAAAGCAAAGCAAAATAAACCACCACATCCACGACACTTCTGTTTTTCCTGCCATTTTTTGCCTATCAGTTAGAAAGGATTTTGTTTCCCTTGCATTATACAATTAGGGAATGTTTAACTGAGGAATCCTCAGTGTTACACTAAACAGAAATAATGGCCAAACCTGGTTCATTTTCCTGTAACTTGGCCTCCACATGATTGCATAGCCTGGAGTTACTGCATTTTTATTTACCAAATTATAGATGTTTATATGTAGTGTTAATGTCAGTAGACTTCATGGTACCCTTTGAAATGGAGTCTGTTAAATACTGGAAGATATAAAAGCTAATCAAGTGGGGTTTGAATTTTAATGACACTGCATTACTAAGCTTTTTGTATTGGAGTAATGGAAGAAAAATGGAAAAAATCAACATAGAAGCATTTTATTATAAGGCTGAGAGGTGCTTGATACCATTTTAGTTTTTCAAATAAAGTGTATAGAGAAGCTAAAATCCTTCTGATCATTACTTTCCTACCAGAAAAAATTATCTGAGCCAAGTCCTCTTTGCTCTGCTCTCTGACAGTTTACAGCAAAGAAAATCCTGCAGCACATGGAGACATGTCATACACATGCTGAAATTCAAGGGGTTAAAGGGTTTCATTTCAGTTTGTTGATATGTTGGTGTTTGCATCCCTTAGGTGTGAGGGTGGAGTTTTGGTTTTAAGCTTGGCTGTGATTTAGGAGTTCCATTTCTGTGCACAAATGGGATCTGTGGTACTGATAGATTCAAACTTGGTTGAAATCAGATAAGGAGTGATTTGGTTGCATTAATGTGGGACTGTGCATGGCCTAAAGAGCAGAGTTCCGAGGGCTTCATCCATAACATTCTTTCAGGATCTTATCAAATCTTTCTGCTGCACTGTGTTGCTGCTGAACACAATCCTCGGGGCTGGGGAATGTCCCTGCCAAGCTGCATTTGGATGTATAATTGTGTCATTAGTAGTGCCAAAAATCAGGGTGTTCTTCCTCCTCTCTCCTCAGAGATGGTCTCTGACAGCAGTGCCCTCCAGTGCTCTGCTCAAACACTGACCAATTTGAAATCTGGCCTGAACTCATCAAGGCTCTTAGTTGATCTGAAGAGGACACACAACTGTATTAATTGCTTTCAGTCGATTGATTGCTTTTCAAACAGTGTTAGAAGCTTGCAAGTCTTGAATGTTTTCCCCTTGATGTAGCTTTCCTTATCCAAAAATATAGTTTGAAAACTTAAAAAAGTGTGATTTGATGAAATGTTTAAATCTCATATTCAGGCCTAAAGAGGAACTTACAGATTGAACATTGGAGGTTTGTGGAGAGTTGAGGGTGTCTCTGCCCAGGGGTTGGGGAGGAAAGTGATGCCGTGGGACCCCGAGCCTGTCCGGCCATACCTGGGAGCTGCTCCTGATGGCTTTTCCACAGATGTCCAGCTTTGTCAAAACCCACTAAATCTTATGAAGTTTATTTTCCTTATAGCATCTGTGTTTTATAATGGTGCTTTTAATTTGTTTTTTCTCTGTCTGCTGGGATTTCTTTTGTCCGGCACTTGCAGGCCTCCCTTTTTTCCTCGGTGGAAGTGAGTCTGTCAGTGATGGCCGGTTTGGGAATACAGCTCGGCCCGGCCAGCCTGGCGGCCGCTCCCTCCCCCCAACAACAAAGCCCATTGTTGTTTTCTTTCTTCACTTTTATCCTCAGCTTAATCCATTTCTCCTTTGAGTGTCAGTGGAAAAAAATGTCTGGAAAAGAGTGGCTCAGGTTTTGGGGGGGATGAGGTGGTGGTGGTTTTGCAGGCTCTCAGCAAACAGCTCCAAAACCACTGGGTTGGCTTTTCCGTGTCTCAGTAGGCAATGTTTGCCCAACGTAAGGCTGCACTTGCAAATGAACTTGTCAGACTCCAGAGCTTTGGCATCCTCAGCTTTTTGGAAGTCTCTTAGTAAAATTACTAAGAGATTTACCAGCCTAAACTGGCTTTAATGTATCCCATGCTCTGATACGAAATTCTCCCCTACGGCAGCCCACGGAAAGACAAATGCTTGACCCCATGGCTTGCACAGGGTCCTGAGGGCTGTGGGTGATTACCAGGGGAAAGTGCCTCCTTGCTTGGGATGCTTCACTGGAAATGATCCTTGAGAGGACACGTTTTCCATGGAATTGTGCTGGTGATGATTGATTGCAATAAAAGCATTCCTGGAGTAATCTGTGGGATGAGATCTGTGTGTGTCAGTCTCCAACCATTTACAGTTAAATGCAGTGTCCACATGTCAGGAGGTAACTTGAGTTCAGCATTCTGCTGGATGAAAAATACTGGATATTTCTACCCGACTTAAACTTTGGCTTTTTTGTTGCTTGTCCTTTGACAGTGAATCAACAACGGCTTGAGCTGCAGAAATAATGTTGATGCTTGACTGCATTCTTTGTGCTCTTTTGGCCCAATCTGACTGCCCTGTGCACACACAACTCCTGTTTGCTGCAGGAGTTTCCTACTTGGAAGGGTTGTAGGAACAGAAGGGGAATTTCTGGGATTCCTGGATGGGTACAGCAGCACATCCTAAACTTAGAGGCTTTTCTTTAACCTTAATCATCCCCACCATCTTAATACTATTGTAGTCATATTTACAAGAACAACTTTCCTGTCAGAAATAATTTCTCTCCTCTTTGTAGCATTCCAACTTTTAATTTTTGACTAGTATCACTTTTAATTACAATTTCTGCAGTTAAGCCAACTGACTGTTGCAGCAGAAAATGCAGGTTGGCAGGCAATGGTTTTTCTGACATATGTTTGGTATTTACAGCTTTTCCATTTGTCACAGCAGAATTTTTTTATCATGTTTGTGCTGTGAAGTGCTGTGCGTTTTGAGGTCTGGTTTAGTTAATTTTTTATTGAGGTTTGTATACATCAGATTTAGCTACATTTCCAAATACATAGTTACAAATTAAATGTTTGACCTCCTGAATATTTTTTTGGTTTCTTTCTCAAAGAGGAATCATCTTATATTTTAATCCCTTTCAGAATCTCTTCTACACATTTTCATTCTTTTTTTAAATTGTTTAGTACTTTTTTCTTTGTTTAATTATGTTTCTTTATATGTGAGTCTAAGAATTTGTAAGATGTTGCTCCTACAATTAATAAAAAACTCTGAAGAGATGAGATAATCCTGCAGTTTTTTAAGTATCCCTAATTGCTCTGGGAGTCCTCAACTTGTATGGAGGCAGAGCAACTCATCCGTGTGTAGGAAGGACGTCTGTAAATTCCTCATTTTTCTGCATGCAAATATTCCAGTGAATCAGCTGAAGGCTTTGCATATGGAAAACCACATGAAGTTGGGAGCAGAGAGCACTGAGACATGAAATGTGCCTTGAGAGGGGAGAGGGGGCTGTTCCAACCCTGCCTTTGGATCAGTAGTTCAGAGTTAATCATTTGATTCTGACCAAGTGAAAGAAAACAAATTACAGAGGTTTGGAGCCCCCTCAGTAGACACTGTCAGTGTTTGCTGTGCCCGTGTGGATCCAGGGGAATATGGGAGAGGGGGGCACTTCCAGAGAGGCCTTGGTTGCAGGAACAGTGACTAATTAGACAATAATGCACAAAACTATTCATATGCCTTCTTGCAAGAACCAAAAATGCATTATTAAACTAATCTTAAAAAAAAAAAAAATTAATTGCATCTCTTAAAACTGAGATGGGTTTTTTTTTTCCTTTTCCTTTTTCTTTTTATTCTAAGTTGGTGCAGGAAAATTGCTATTAATGAAACCTGCTCTCTGGGAACTTCAATAGGCTTGTTCTTCATTAAAGCCTTGCTGTTTCTCTTAAAACGTATTGATGGATGTTCAGGCCAGATACTTATCACAAAATACACTTTGTAATTTCATCATTTCTGTAATTGTGCTTCTCTGAGACTCAGAGGTCTGGGGGCTTTGCAGAAAAAAAATCCAAATAAAACCCCCAAGCTTACAGTTATATAGTATTAAAAGAAGGGTGAAGGAAGCATTGAGTGTCTTTAGGATGATGAGACATTCATTAAGATTTTTCCGCCTTCCTTTTCCTATTTTCAATCCATCTGAAGTACCATTAAAGCTTTTCAGGCAGCTTCCTGTGAGAAACCCTTTGCTGTGCTGTTTTTCTTCCTTGAAAAAAGGTGGCTGCTCTTGAGGCAGATTGTATGGATTTGGCCTGGGATTTGTATAATATCTGTGTAGAATGCATCAGTTGTTTAGGAACCTAATTCCCAATATGGTTCCCTTTTGATTAAGAACAAAGCCAGTGTTTCACAGCATTATAGGAACACAGAAAAACAAGTTAATGATCTAAACCTTTTAATTCATGGTTGCTTGTCTATTTAAAGTACTTTTGATTCTGCTATAAACAGACTGGCCCCTTTTTTTGTTTAACTTCTTTCTTTGGTTTCTTCACATTTCTTTCTTTACTGTCCATGAAATTTGGAGCTAGTTTCCTTTTCCAACTGAAGAATGAAAGGTTGTGACTACAGAGTGATACAGCGAGTAAGAAAGCGTATCCAAACTGGGCTTCCATCCAGCACAGACCTCTTTGAAATCAGCTAAATTTAGGATTGTTGAGGGCTTTTTTGCTATGTTTTCCCTTTCCTTTTTTCAGTACCTGTGTTTCATTTTTGTCTTTTTGAATGAATATGAAATTTGTTACTTTTCTGATACTTTCTTGATTTTTACATCTAGTTTGGCATGGCTTTATTTGACACAGTTACTTGATATTTCCCTCCAGCCTTAGCTCTGCAGATGATTATTCTGTGTGTCTTTATCCGTCGAGACAACAAAAGCGACCTTTTCAGGACTTCCAATTACCAACACTGTATGTGGTACTTTAGGAAAATAATTCCCTTCCAGATACTCCTTTTTTTTTAAATAGAGAATTGGAATCCAGAGCTTGTCCTTCAAATTGAACTCGAAAACTTTTCGGTGAGCAAAACTGCCAGGCAAGCAGCAGCAGCAGCAGGAATAATTTCCCTTCCATGGAAAAGAATCCTTCCTTATCCCCAGATGTGAAATTAGTAATTGCTTCTTCCTTGTAATTTATTCTTTATCTGAAATGAAGATTATTTTTTTAGATTTTTTTTTTATTACAGCAGCAGCTCATTTGTGGTTATTTTTTGCCTTTTTTTTTCCGGTCTTTTTTTATCTTACTTGAGGCAGATGTAGAAATGATAAACGAGGAAAAAATTCCAATAATATGTTTTGTTGCACCTCTATCCCATCAAGGTAAATTGAACAGCCAAGACACTTACAATAACTTCACCAACAACAATCCCGGGAATCCTCGACTCCTGCCTCTCCCAAGTTTGACTGTGGTGTTGCCTCTCGCTCAAATCAAGCAGCCAATGACATTAGGGACCATCACCAAACGCACAGGGTAAGTGGCACAAACCTTCCTTAGCCTTTGTGATTCATGTGGAAGTCATCTGTGTTATTAGTGAGAATTAGTTTTATTCTGTATTTTAATTTCTGTGTATGGAATTTAATAGCAGCAGAAGGTGGGTGGGAGGAAGAGGAGGCTGAAAACATCAGATGAATAAATACAATTTAAATAAATATAAACCTCTGTAAATTCAGGAATATTCATTTGGGTGGGTTAGGAGATGTTTTCACACAAGGAATTGGAATGAAACATAAGCAGAGCTGTATTCAATCAGAATAAAATATGGTTTTACTTTTTTTTTCCAAGTTTGTTTATTTTGATTTCCAACCTTTTCAAGCAGAAATGATTTTTGACCATCAGAACTGGAAAGACAGTAAGCCAGGTTGAGCAGAAAGGCAAAACTTAATCCTGCTGTTTTCTTGACCTTATTTTTCCTCTGTTGTACTGTTCTGGACTCGGTAATTCATGTGTGGATTTCCACTCCAGAGTCAGCTGCACTTTGGTACTTCTCATGTGCTGTGATAAAACACTTCACTTTTCTTGGGAAAAGCTCCTCTAAATATATATTACAAGATTTTATGAGCTTCCTTAACCATAGCAATTTTAAATTAATTAATACTGTCCAACAGCTGACATTTTTCTCTTGCTAAACTTTAAATATTTATTGCATTTAAATCTACTGGGTGATGTTTATATTTTTCCTCTCATTTTCTGGTTGTTTGAATTCCTGAATATTTTCCAGTTAAAAATCTGATTGATCCATTAGTTTTCAGAGGGCTTTTATATTTTTTAAGGAAAGTAGATGGAGCATGGCATGCTGGACAGAACTACTGAGAGTCCTACAGCTTCCTGACCTTTTCCTGCATTTTGGCAAACAGGCACTGCCTCCCTTGCTTCAATGCTTTCTTGCTCAAACCCTGCTCGTGAGGTGAATTTTCCCTTGTGTTTCGTGAACCGGGAATTCCATTTCAGGCAAGAGCTTGCGGATATTCCCTCTCTCCCTGTGTAATTCCCATATTTGTGCTTGAGTTCAGGACTTGCTGTAAAATCCCTTTATTGCTGGGTGCACTGGGTGTGAGTGCTGGCAGTCAGCAGCTGGGCTGTGCACGTGTGTATCCATTCGTGTCTGTCCAACAATCCTCTCCTGCCCTTGCCGTGAAACGGGAATTTCACGGGGCTCATCGAGCCAAACGTGAGCCACGGACACGCAGCTGCCCCAAGCACAGAGAGAAATTCCTCAGCTTCACAGATAATTGTAAATGGAACTTAAGAAACGGTGAGGGAACAGTTTGGGGGTCATGTTGAGGTTTAGCTTCCTCCACAGACACATTTCAGTTGCTTATTTAAGCTTTTTTAGTTTTCTGCTCAGTTTAAAAAAGTGAAAAAGATTTTGCTGCTGCTCAGGTGAATTTTGGAAGCATATCCAGGTGTGATCCTGGATGAGGATGGGAAGGGAGGTGGGGTCAGGGGGAGGTTGTCACAGGGCAGGAGGTCACAGTTCCTCAGAGAGGGGAAATACCAAAAACCTGACTTGAAGAATACAGTGAAGGACAGAAATGTAAATGTGGGCTCCCAGAACTGGAATAGAGACTTAGAACCAGGCAGGACACGGCAGAGAAAGAAATTAAAAATTGACCTGAGGCCCTGCCAGGGGAGGTGGGTGATAGGAGCAGTGAGGAGGATTTGGGGAAAAGCTCTTGGTTTATAGTTGTAATTAATGCAAAATTATTTACAAAGGTTTCTTCAATGCTGTGGTGATACCAGCAAGCCTTTCTAAAATTATTGCAATTGTAGTAAATCTCCAATATTTTATTTAATGTTTTATTCTTAAACATCTAAAACATATTCAGAGTGTTCGTATTTGTAGTTTTCCGGTAAATTATGCTATTCACAAACTGTCCCTGTTCCATTTTATGTAATTTTAAAAACTAATTAAATTTAAAATGCTCAGTGAGGCTTATGTAAGGGGGAAAACAACAGTCATGGGAAATACCCTGCTGTGTAAATAGAGTTTTCATGAATGAGGATCATAATTTTCAGCACAGCCCACATAGCCTCGTAACACTAAGCTGAGAGCTTCCTTCATTTGTTCTGCATCCAAAATATTTGATGAAAGTACACAAAATTAACATGAAAAGCTGTTATTTATAAAGCAGGGATTTAAGAGGAATGCCTAGGATCCAAGAAGCCTGGCATGCCTAAAATGACCAAATTGAGACAGCAGCCTTAACTTAAACCTCCAGGGGGCAAAGCGTGTGTTTAACATATTTAACATCTGCCCTCATATTTCTGCAAACACATAGCACTGGAAGTCTGTGCAGTGTAAGATTTCGACAGGACAGGGACCATCTGCCTCGCTGGGAGAAGTGTAGGAGGCATGTATTACTGCAAATGGCAAAAGACAGATGTATTTACACCTACATGGTCAGCACCTCTAAGCACTGCTCCGAGGAAACAAGGCTCTTCCTTGGGAGCAGCTGCTGAACCTTGCGATTGTGCAGCGATCAGAAAAGGAGCCGGGCTCGGGATCACAGCAGTCGCTGCTCAGCCGCCCTCAAAGATTCCTCTCCCGTGCTTGTGACTTCGAAAGAATTAAAAATTTAATCCTTTGCAGCACATTTAAACAAGACTCAAATTCTGTATAATTAGAGGGCTGGATTTGTCCCTTTTATTTGCTCTTAACATCAGCTGCTTTAATATTAAATCTTCATGAGGTCTTGTAGATTTTATTAACCAAAAAATCGAGTTGGGGTTTGTTCTGCCAGTATCCAAGACAGCAAAATATTTTCCAGGTACTGAAAGGACTGATCAGTGCTCTTAATATCATGTGTCTGGAGCAGAGCTGCAAAGCATGTCATGTTGCTTGACAGGTGGAATGGCAGTAAATTTTTTAAAAGTGTCTCCTGTAGCCCTATGGGAATGAAAGACAGAGTCTGGAATTGTGTCATGACCGTGCTGCTCATCACAGATGCCTTTTTTTTTCCCCCCCTGCAAACATGTAGATTTTGGAACGTGTTCTGATCAGTCTCTGCCCTGAATGCAACTTCCATTGTCAGCATGAAGTATCTCAGAGCATCCCCTCCACCTTTCCTTCTTCCCTGCCCTCTGCTTCTTCCTTTGCTTTTTCAAGTCTCCCATTGTAATTTCTGCACTTTCATCAAGCACTTAATTTTTGTCCCTACATTTTGTCATCCCATTGACTGGCTTCCCTGTAGTTTGTGCTGTCAGCACATTCAGGCCTTCCCAGAGGGGCTCTAACACTAATGAGTAAGGAAGCTTCTGATGTTTTAAAGATTAGGAGGGATGCAGGACAGCACAAGAGCTGGATTTAATAAGTCTTTCTATACTGTGCCTCAGTTTCCCCCTCAAAATTTCGATAGTAATGCTGAATTCCTTGTCAAGGTGGGTGAGTGGGATAATTCATTGCTCATTTACAAAGAGCTTATAGATTGCAAAGGGGAAGAGCTGTATGGTCCATCTCATTGTCTATAAAAGGCAGTGAATCAGAACATTGTAGAACTCAGCTTTGTGCCCCACAGTAACTCCATAAGTGTTCCCTGGGTTTGTGGAATGAGTTGTAGTTGGTTTCCAGTGGGGACATGGGTGAGCTATAATGGGAAGGAGGGAAAGAAAAGATACAGTAATTGCCCCAAAAGAAAAAAACTATTGTCAAAGTTGGCTCCTCTGACAGCAGCATTTGTTTTAACTTCCTCAAGGGACAGGGTCATTATATTTGTATCATACTTCACTCCCCAATTCATCCTTGCTGGAGTGAGCAGCAGGATGGAACCTGCATTAGCTGAGTCTTGTCAAAACACAGAAATCCAGTGTGCCTTGCAGAAAAGGGATAAACCTTGCTTTTTTTTTCCAGCCAGGAGATTTAGATAGTGTATTTTTAAACATGAAACTCTATCCCTTCTTCATCCCATCCCTCATTCCACCCTCAGTGAGGAAAGGGGAAGTAGGTAAAGTGTCTGATGCAATTTTATCATTTTAATTTTCTATGCACAGAAAGTCACTGATACATCTTGGGTTTATTTTGTCTCAGGGATCTTCATTTATCCCATGGTCAGCTACTGCAGCAAAAAAAAAAAAGTGGTGCAAAATCACCATGTTATGGTACAATTAATTAGGAAAAAATAACTGAAAAAGTAGAGAAAAAAACCCCTAAAACTAAAGAATTCAGCACAAATGTCTGAAGCCGGAATTTCTCTTTCTGGCACATTTCTCAGATATTTTATATCACTTTTAGTTTTTATAATACATTTTAGTAACAACACAACTGCTGTAATCATTTGTAATTGAAACAAGATACAATTATTTGCACTAAAGTTTGTTCAGATGTCAATGTTTATTAAAGGATTCTCAATTTGGCATGATGAGGGTTAGAATAAATGTGTTTTGCAGAGCTTATTAAAAGCTTAAATAGTTTTATTAAACAGAACACAAAATCAGAATGTTTCAGTTTTCAGTTTTCTAAAACTCAGAATCAGGTGAGAAACTGTGAAAATTCTGTCAAAACTTTGAATGGTGAATCATCTTCATTCCATGATTTCCTTTGGAATTTCTCCCTAGCTCTGGAAAAGGGGAACCTGGGTGAGTTTTTGCCTTGGCATTGCTCTCTCGCTGTCACTGAGTGCAGCCATCTGGTGCTGTCTCTTCAAGGTTGGGTTATCCTGTAATTTGTGGATTCTCTCTCGCTCTCAATTAGTATTCCATCCATATTATGGGAAGGAAATAGTGGAAAGCAATTGCATACATAAATATCATAGGAAAAAATGGTTGTTCTTAATGAAATCAGGTCTTCTGAACAGCAAGGAGGTAGTAAGTTGGTTTTCTCACACATGAAGCATTTTAATAAGACTCTGCTGTAGTCTTTGGAAGTGTAATTACATTTTCTTCAAGATACAAAATTTTCTATCCTTTTCCATCCATTTTCTATCCAAAACAGACTGAACAAAACCTTCAGTTGAAGCCCACCTGGCCAATTTGTAATTAAAATAAAGAGAATTTTTTAATTTGCATGTATAATCAGGTCAATATAGCAGTTGTGGAAGAAGAAAAAGCCGCTGTTATCTTCTGAAATGTTTAATGGGCTCAGCTAAGTGTTATTTGCCTGAGGTTTGAAGACAGAGCAACTGAGGCTGAGAAGAAAAAAAATAGTGTCCAAAACAGCCATGATCATAATTTGGAAATTGAATTCTAAGTTCCCAGGCAGATCTGACCACTCTCCAATGACTCTTCAATTTTGCACTCAATACATTACATTCTAGGTTTTAAATTATGTTGGCTTTGGGTTATGCAGGAGATTTAGCTTTCAATTAAATATTTAAGCAGTGCAATAGTTCTGGACTCATCTTCTAGACTGGCCTTTGACTTGGACACTGGATGTGCTCACTTTATAGGAGATCATTCAGTTCAGACAATTTAATTGGGTTTTAGTACTGTTCAAAGATGATATATTAGGTCTAGAAGGGTGGTTGGTTCTGGCAAATGAGTTCTGTCCCCAAAAATGTTAACCAATTTATTAAATACAAAAAGTTAAAGGCCAGTCCCTTATGTGGAGCTCAAAAATGTGGTTTTTTGGCCTATAGTACTAATTAAAAATAAGGTTTTTTTTTTTTTCTGTAATATTCTAGTCTTTATTGGATTTTTGCATCTTTGCATGTTGAAGAATGTGTGTTTTAGGTTTGTACCTTCACCTGAATGTTTTTTGAGAGGATCCCTTCATTCATTGATGTTGTGCTCATGTCAGATTTAGTTTATTGAGTTCTTTTTTTATCAGGCTGGTATCCTTTTAATTGTGTTGGTCTAAGGCTGAGTGCTTCATACATCCTTCAGTGCTGGACCTTTTCTGGCAATTCACTGCCTAAGAATATTTCACCTGTTTCAACTACCCAGAACTTATTGCTGTGTCAGAGTATGAAAAGAAAACAGAACCATTGGCATTTACAAAATGAATTATTTAGAGATTTTGTGGATGATGTTACATCCCAAATGAGACTCAAAGAAGCCTTGAGCATGTGAGTAGCTCTAAATTTGCCTCTTTTTGCTCCTTTTCGGATTTTATGCAAATGTCACTATGGCAGTGAATTTTTAAAAGGAGATACCCATTGAAAATTCCCTCAGAATAATGGGTTAAAAACTCTCCACTGTGCAAAATACTTGAACAAAACATGAGATCAAATCATGGTGTAAATTGTTGGGTGTCCAAAAGCACTCAGCTCTAGATCCAGTGATTTGAACATCAAATACATTTGAAGTAAGTCAGGCCTCTCTTTTCTGCATCTGTGCAAGCTTTTAATGAGAGGAAGAAGATTTCTGGGTCAAACAATTGAATTCCATGGGGTGTTTCTGTCCTGGCAAAAGGCTGAATAATTGTCCCTAAAAGGTTCTGATTGCACCTGTTGGTTTTATTTGACCTCCTTTCAGTATCTTTGTGAAACTGCCCCACTGGGCCCCTCAGTGTTCATGGAAAACCCCAATCTGTGACCGATTTGGATTCTAATTCCCTTTTCCTGTCAGTTCTGTTCAATATCTGCTGCAGCCCCAGCTTTGGCAGCAGGTTGGAGGGGGGTCCTGAGCCGTGCCTAAGCCCAGCTCTAACTCTGAGCCCAGCTTGCACCGATGTCCCCCGCGGGTCCCGGCATGCGGAGCCCTCCTGGCAGGTGCCACCTCTGGACTGTGCCCTGGACACTGCCACTCCAGGGTGTCCCCAAGGGCTCTAACAACGATTCTGTTCACTTTCTGCATAGATCTGAGTAGCATGATGTACGGTGTACCTGTTGGGAATTGAGTTCTCATCTAATTTCTGTGCATTTTTCCCCTTTCCGTGAAGACCTTACCTGTTTGGAGCAGGATGTTTTTCCATAAAAGCTCCTTGGTGAGTTCCCAGTTCAAACCCAGCATGCCTATACTCCATTTGCTGTCCTTGCTGAAAATAACTCTGTGCTTAGACTTTTTAATTTTGGATTAATTTTTGGTTTTCATTTGTTTACCTGCATGGCTGATCCATAGGTTTCCACCTACATAATTTCACTTTTAAACTATGGATACGTGCGCATCATCAAGCATTGCAAGGAATTAAATTCACTTCTTTTTTTTTTCCTTTTTTTTTTTTTTTTACCTTTGAGAGTGCATTTAATTTTTAAGTAGCAGGGAAGTTGAAAAAATAAATTATTTCTAAGTGGGCAGAAATGATTGCAATGTCTTTCCAAACAAGCCTCTCGCTTTTTTTTTCTATATTGCTTCCTTTATTATTGTAGCTCTAAGTTGCTCACAGACAGAAAACATCGATGATGACCTCTGAAAAATAAGCCAGATTAGCAGTGAGTAGGCAGTAAAGTACTGCAGTGAGAGGTGAAGCAGTAAAATGGGCACTGAAAAAAAAAAGAAAAAAAAAAGAAAAGCTGATTACTCTGGAGAAAAGAAAAAAATCACAGAATGGCCCTGGGGTGAAAGGGACCTTCAAGATCATCTCATTCCAACATGGGAAACAGTTCTATTAAAACTGGGCTATTTGAAATAAAAGGGGTTTCATTTTAATGTGAAAAAAAGCAATATTATTAACAAGTTTTTTATGTTGGAGTTTGGTTCAATATTTGGGCAGCTCTGCATCACCTCAGTCACCACTTTATAACAGGATTGGGCTTAGATGCTGAAAGTTTTGGATAATAGGAATGGAAGAAGTAAGAACACCTCAGAAAATATAAAAACTTCCAGCAAGGAGTTTTCTGGGGCTTGGGTTTTTGGGGTTTTCCTGTGGGTTTGGGATTTTCTCTTTGTTTTTAATTTAGCTAAGGATATCTATTAACTATGGCCACCAGTATCTGTTAGAATATTTGTACATGGCTCTTGGGTTGGCTCTAGAAATTGTCACCACACGGATCACCCTTAATGTCTCTATCAAAATATTCTCTTTAGGAAAAGAAGTTGTGAAGAGCTTTGTAGGACACACAATTCCCAGAGAAAGGCTGAGGAGGGATTTGGGAGCTCTGCCAGGGGAAGCACAGGGGAGGAAGGGAGGGAGGGAGGAGAGGAAGGAGAGGAAGGAGAGGAAGGAAGGAGAGGAAGGAGAGGAAGGAAGAAGAGAAAGAAAAGAAAGAAAAGAAATAACTTCCCAGACACTTTCCCAGAGGAACACACCATTGAATAGTCCTCTCTAAAAA